TTTTAGGCCCATTTCAGCCTATTTTAGCTCATTTTTGCTCGTTTTTTCTGGAATTTTCTAAGCTCCGCCCTTTTTCTCACCTGTATCGAGTCCAGAATCGTCGATATAATCGCAGTTTGTCCGGATTTGGCGGCAATGTGAAGTGCATTATACCGGAATCCCTCCATCACAATGGATGCCACGTCACCGCCCGTATTCACCAGGTATCGCGGATTCGTTTCGATCAGCCGTCTGAAAAACGATCGATTATTGATTTTTCTAGAGAAAATTCCAGAAAAAATGAGCGAAAAATCGCTGAAAATGGCCAAAAATGAGCAATTTTGACTTTGGTGGCCTAGAAATCCCAAAAACTCGGCCATGGGTCATTTTGGGTGGTTTTTTCCCGGAGTTTTTAACAGAAAATTGATAATTTTGATTTTAGATCGGATTATAGCAAAAAGTCCAGAAAAAATGAGCCAAAAATGGCTGAAAACTAGCCAATTTGACTTTGGTGGCCTAGAAATCCCAAAAAACTCGGCCATGGGTGATTTTGGGTGGTTTTTGACGAATTTTGCACTGAAAACACGTTCAAAACCCCCTAGAATAGCCTAAAAAGACTTAGAATGGTCCTTTTTGCACCTAATGGCCTATTTTTTCCGCAAATTTGGATTTCTAGGCCATCTGTCTGTTTCTAGACGAAATTGGCTAATTTTTGAAGATTTTTTCGGCTTTGTCGAAATAAAAACGGATAATTCAGATTTTTAATCAATTTTTAAAGAAATTTTCAGAAAAAATGAGCCAAAAATGGCCGAAAGTGAGCAATTTTGACCATGGTGGCCTAGAAATCCCAAAAACTCGGCCATGGGTGATTTTGGGTGGTTTTAGGTGAATTTTGCATGAAAAACACGTTTAAAACCGCCTAGAATAGCCAAAAATGGCTTAAAATGGTCTCATTTGTCCATGGTGGCCTAGTTTTCAACAAAATTTGGTTTTCTAGGCCATCAGTGAAAAATGATCATTTTTGGCGAATTTTAGGCTTGCAAAATGGAATTTAAACGATTTTAGACAATGAAAACGGTCTAAACTGGGTATTTATGCCATTGGTGTGCCCAAATTTGCCCAAATTTGGGTTTCTAGGCCACCAGTCAAAAATGATGATTTCCGGCAGTTTTGGACCATTTTTGGTGGTTTTTCAGCGATTTTTTAGGTTTTAAAAGTCGATTTTTACGATTTTAGAGGTATTTTCAAGCTTTTTAGTGGATTTTACTCACAAAAAGTTCTCCATGTCCCCTTTTTCCACATATTTCTTGAACTCATTCATCTGGATTCGATTGACACCCGAGAACGGAGAGTTCGGTTCGATGGGCGGAGCCTGAGCAATGTTTGGAGTCGTTGGCACGTCGCCAAATGCCAAAAAATCCATTGCCTCCCGAGGAGTGCCGAATTTTTTGAATCTCGCTGAGATACTTTTTCCTTCGGGCGAATTTACGAACTTTGCGACCTCTTTTACAGTTCTGAAACGCGAAAATTTGAATTTCCCGCGATTTTTTAGTGTAAAACTCACTTATAAAGGTCTCGAGGTGATTTTAGCATATCTTCCGCCGAATAGGCCACATAAACCGGTCCATCCTTTATTTTTTCCGGTGTTTCTGTCATTTTTCTGCAATTTTCACGTTTTTTGATCTTAAAAACTCGAAAAAATCGCCAAAAACGGCTGAAAATGACTGAAAAAGGCTGAAAATTCCGAAAAAATCAATTTTCAAAACACCCGCCGCTTTCCGCTAAACAAGGCGCACTACCCGGAGCGTCGTTGTTTTTTCCTTTCGCCCCCTCGCCGTCCTCCTCGTTTCACACACTCTCTCACCTAAAATCTCAAAATCGCTGAAAATGCACGGATTTTCAGCGGAAAAACGCGGGAAAAAAGCTGAAAGTACCTGAAAATCGGCTCGGAACAAATTATAGCTAGAATTACAGCGAGAATTGCAGATTTTCTGCCCATAAAGTCTGAAGAGAGAGTTACGAGTTTTTCGAGGTCAGCAATGGGAAAACATCTCGAGTTTCGCAACTTTTTCTCGTGATTTTCGAAAACTAGCAATAGAGCAAGCTTGTAGTTTTGCTATGGGGCGCGATTGGAAAGCCAGATAATTTGAATTTTGATTTTTTCGAAAAATTACAATTTTTGAGCTAAAAATTCTAAAATTTTGAAGATTTATAATTTTAATTTTGTACTTTTTGTTCAAATTTTAGTTTTATAGCTAAAAAAGGCTTTAGAGTTTCCGAAAAATTTGAATTTCCCGCTCGTTTTTTTTGCGATTTGGACAATTCGGGAAAAATTCTCATTAGAGCGCACTTGCTTGAAACCTAGCACCGGAAATAAGAAAAATCGAATTTGGCTGTTTTCCAGCTTCAAAATAAGCCCCATAATGCCTAGACACCAAACATTGCAAGCAATTTAGGCGCCAACTACAGTAATCCTCAAAGTGGGCGGAGCCTAGTCGTGGTTAGGCTCATTTTGAAGCTTAAAACATATTAAATTCAATTTTCTCAACTTTTGTGTTTCTAAATAAGCCCCATATTGCCCAGCCTCCGCCCATTTCGAATTTTCCCTTCAGCACGCGACGCACGACCGCGACGCATCTGGAAAATGAAAGTGGGCGGAGCCAAGCCGTGTGGGGGCTCATTTTGAAGCTGAAAACGCGCTGAATTCGAATTTTCGGCTTATTTGAAGCTATTTCGAGGTTCCAGCAAGATTTTTCCCGAATTTCTTATCTCAAAATTTCCCAAAATTTTCTTATCACCGAAAAAATCATGTCAATTATAATAAAAATGTTTCTTATCATCATAAAAAATTGGAAAATCACCTGAAAAAAACCTATTTTCTACCTCTTTTTCCCCCATGTGACCTCCAAAAAAATCATGAAGCTTCTGTTGATTTTTCTGACTTTTTTATCGATTTTTCCAAAATTTTCCAATGGATTTCCAGTCAAAAAATTAGCTGAAAATTTGAGCGACCCAGATAATCGAGGAGTTTTACCGAATAGTAGGTTTTTCGAAATTTAAAATTTTTCAAATTTCCGAAAATTCCAAAAAAAAAATTTTTTTTGAATTTTTTGAATTCCCGCCAAATCACCTAAAAATTATAATTCTAATTTCTTGCAGTTGATGGCGTCTACTGTAGAAACAGTGATTTCCAAGCCGCTATTTATAGTGCCCTTACAAATGTCACAAATCCAGACACCGCGTCGGTGGACCAGATTCAGGGAAAGCTAGAGGTGAGGAAATGCGCTCTATTGGGAATTGGGTTGAAAAATTGCATTTGGCGTGTTGAGAGCTTCAAAACGAGCCTAAACACGATTAGGGTTGGTTAGAAACAGACTCCGCCCATTTTTGGTCCAAACAAAACCAAAATTGGCGGAGCCTAGGCAATATGGGGCTTATTTTGAAGCGCAAAAACTATGAAATTCAGATTTTTTATCAAAAATGCTGCAAAATGAGCTTAAACACGACTAGGCACCGCCCACTTTGAGGATTACTGTAGATGGTCCCCAAATTGTTTAAAATGGGCGGAGCCTAAGCAACATGGGGCTCATTTTGTAGCGCAAAAATAAGGAAATTCAGTTTCTACATCAAAAATGCTTCAAAATGAGCCAACACACGACTAGGCTCCGCCCACTTTGAAATTTCCTCTAGACACGCGACGAACGACCGCGACGCGCCTGAAATATGAAAGTGTGCGGAGCCTAGTCGTGTTTAGGCTTATTTCGAAGCTCTCATTAAGCTAAACGCGATGTTGACCGTATCAATTACAGAAAAAAACGAGAATTCTTCGAATATTTGGGTCTTGAAACGAAAACAGTGATTTTCAACCAATTTTCCAAAATTTCAGCTCTTTTCTGCTGAAAACTTGCATTTTTTTTAATCATTTTTTCGTTCTTAGCTTATTAAGAGCTTTAAAACAAGCCCAAACTCGACTAGTTTCCGCCCACTTTGAAATTTCCTCCAGACACGCGACGCACGACCGCGACACACCGGAAAAATGAAAGTGGGCGGAGCCTAGTCGTGTTTGGGCTCATTTTGAAGCTCTCGGCGTGCTGAATTTGAATTTGATAGTGAAATTGACCAAAAATCATTTTCAACAGAAAAAAAACCCAAAAACATTTTCAGAATTCCCTAATGCCAAAATTCAAGGCACTCGGTGGGACATGGCTGGTCAGTGTGACCACCTATCATCGTGTAAATGGTTGGGTCGACGATTCGGCAATCGGAATGAACACATTTTGTGCTGTAAACGCAGTTAGCCTTAATTTGTACATAATTATTATGAAAATCGATAGTTTGTATTAAAATTGTGGAAAAAGCTGAAAATTTTTTATTTGTGTCATAAAAATCAATAAATTATTTATTACAAGAAAAAACGATCAATTTTGATCTACAAGAGTCAACTTCACACATATGAAATTTTTTGAAAAATTTTTAAAAAATACATTTTTGAAAAAATGAAATAAAACGGTGAAAGACATCCCCAGAGAGAGCAAGAAGGACGATGATATGCTATTTTAACAAAAAAAATCGATAAATCGATATATCACTCCACTGTGCACAGCCCATCAACCGCTTTCTGGCCAGCCGGACAGTTTTTCACTGAAATAAAAAATAGTTTCAGATTTTAAAACGTTTTTCTCTGAAATTCTAGCAGAGTTATTAACATTTCGACCACATATTCAAATTTAGCTAGTTTTGAGCTTCAAAATGAGCTTAAACACGACTAGGCTCCGCCCATTTTCAGTTTTCAGCCGCGTCGCGGTCGTGCGTTGCGTGTCTAGGTGAAAATTCAAATTAGGGGCTTATTTTGATGCGCAAAACGTATCAAATTTGGATATGACTGTTTTAGAGCTTCAAAATGAGCCCCATATTGCCTAGGCTCAGCCCATTTTGAAATTAAGCTCCGCCCACTTTAAGGGGTCCAGGTTGTCTCAAAGGGGTGGAGTTAACTCGTGTTTAGACTTATTTTGAAGCGCGAAAATAATTAAATTTGAATCTGGCATTGAAAATGTGAAAAAATGAGCCCAAAAATGGCCAGATTTGAAGCAAATTAGGCTCCGCCCCTTTTTACTCCAAATCTTCAAAGTGGGCGGAGTCTATTCGCGTGTGGGATCATTTTGTAGCGCTAAAACTACTAAATTCATCTTTAACAGCTTGAGAGCTTTAAAATGGACCCCATTTCGCCTAGGCTTCGCCCATTTTGAAATTTCACCGAGACACGCGACGCACGACCGCGACGCATCTGAAAATTCAAAATGGGCGGAGCCTAGGCGTGTTTGGGCTCATTTTGAAGCTTGAGACATGCCGAAACTGAATATAGCATTTTGAAAGTGAAACTTTGATTTTGTGATGATTTTTCAGGGCAATAAAACATCCTAAAATTTTTTTAAACACATTTTCACTCATAACTTTCTTGAAAATCGATATTTCTGAAATCTGTAAACTGTCACTGACCACATTTGAGTTCAGGCTTCCCATCCACCTTTTGAACCATTTTCACCATATACGACGGGCACACAATTTCAGCGTCTTCCTCCGTTTTGTCTCGGCTCGCCGACACCGAGCAGCACTGATACTTTTTCGTGTTGACATGCGGCAAACAGAGGTATCCTTGTGGACATCCTCTTGCTAATGGATCACATTGCACAGCTTCCTGCGTACTGGGGTACAGTAGCGCGTTTCCACGCTCACAACCACCGCCTGTAATAATTTGGAAAAATTTTAAAAATTGTTTTAGAGTTCTAGAAGCTTCAAAAACAGAAATATTATCTAGATTTGCCGAAAATCGAGCTCGGCGTGTTTTGCGCTTCAAAATGAGCCCAAACACGACTAGGCTCCGCCTCGGTTGGAATTTTCAGGCGCGTCGCGGTCGTGCGTCGCGTGTTGAAATCTTTAAGTGGGCGGAGCCTAATCGTGTTTGGGCTCATTTTGAAGCTTGAGACATGATGGAATTGATTTTAGCACAGGAAATAATTCAAAATGAGCCCAATCTTGACTAGGCTTCGCCCACTTTAGACTTCGGGGGACAAAAGGGGCGGGGCTTGAAAATAGTCGTCTTTGGGCTCATTTTCAAACATTTCAAGCATTAAATTTGAATCTCATTCTTTTTGCGCTGTAAAATGAGCTCAAACACAACTAGGCTCCACCCAGTTTGATTTTTGAGCCGCGTCGCGGCCGTGCGTCGCGTGTCTTATGGAAATTTTGAAGTGGGCGGAGCCTAATCGTGTTTGGGCTCATTTTGAAGCATGTTTGAATTCCAATTTAATGGAAAAATCCAAATTCCTGATTTTTCGAAAAAAAAATCTAAAGAAGTGAAATTTAAAAAAGAAAGTTTCTCAAAATGTAAAAAATCGATTTTTTCGGCTGAAAATCATCAATTTCAGAAGATTTGTTTTGTTATTCTTACTCAACTTGCTGAGAGCTTCAAAATGAACCCCATATTGCCTGGGCTCCGCGTACTTTGGTTTATCCGGCGCGTCGCGGTCGCGCGTTGCGTGTCACGGGGAAATCAAAGTGGGCGGAGCCTAGTCGTGTTTGGACTCATTTTGAAGCGCTAGGCAAGCAAAATTGATTGGTGGTGTTGGAAATTGGATTGGAGCAAAAATGAAAGCTCCAGGAGCCAAAAAAAGAATTTTTCGAAAAATTTCAAAACCCTCTAACTTTCTTCATTTAAAAGCTAGAAAGTTCAAATAACTTGTAAAATACCTCTTATCCTATTCGAATTACTCTTTTTCGTCTGTTTGGAGCAACAAAAGTAGTCTTTTGCAGTTTGTGAGAATTTGCATTGGTATCCATAAGGACAGCTAGTGGTGGCACAGGACTTGGCTCGCCCGTTGACCAGATATGGGCTCATTTGGGCCGGGCAATAGTGGGCGGAGCCTGAGCCTTTGATTGGTTTTGATTTTTTGGTGGGAGGAGGGGGCGGGGCTTCAGTAGTGGTGGTGGTGGTGGATTTTTCCAGAATTTTCTCCGATTTTTTGGCTCCACAGCAGACATTTTGGGCGGCTTCTTCGCTGTATTGACACTTAAAACCTTGTGGACAATCGTCGTTGGTTAGAACACAAGAAACCAGATTTTTTCCTTCATAAAACGGTTGCTCATCCTTAATTACACAGTAATTATCGGGACTTTTCGGAGGCTTTTGGTCCTTTTTACATGAATTCTGCCCGTCTGGAGACTCTCCTTTGGCACAACCACACAGGCCGAAGATACATCGAGAATTTGAGATGCATTGAAGTGAGGATTTACAGGATTCACCGATTTTCGCTCGATTTTCGCATTTTCCATCTAGACGGATCTGGTTTTCCGAGCACTCCCCGTCCACACACTCTCCTTTGAGCTCGGCTTTCGTTCCGGCGCATCTGCAAAAATTGATTTTGGATTTGAAATTTGAATTTGGCAAGTTTGGAGCTTCAAAATGAATATAAACATGACTATGCTTGGTTAAGATTAGGCTTCGCTAAACTCAAAAAAAATTGTTGACCCCAAAAACAGGGGAAAGACGTTTTTAATCCCTCAAAACTTTCTTAATCTTCCAAATCCATTGTTTTTGGCACTCTAGCTTTGTTGGAAACGTCGGGAGCTTCAAAATGAGCCCCATATTGGCTAGGCTCCGCCCACTTTGAATTTTCCATGAAACACGCGACGCACGACCGCGAAGCATCGGAAAAATGAAAGTATGAGTAGCCTAGGCGATATGGGGCTCATTTTGAAGCGCAGAAACTGGCAAATTTGAATTTGCCTTGAAAAATACTACAACTTTGAAGAATGATAGGAAATATGAAAAATTAATATTTTTGGTTTTTTGAAATTTTCAAAAATCTGGATTTTTCGAATTTTTTGTAATTTTCTACAGTTTTTGATTGTTTAGAATAAATTCAGCTCTTTAAGAGCTTCAAAATGAGCCCCATATTGCCTAGGTTCCGCCCACTTTGAAATTTCCATAAAACACGCGACGCACGACCGCGACGCTCCACTGAAAAATCGAAATCAGCGGAGCCTAGGCCATATGGGGTTCATTTCGAAGCGCTTGACCTAGTGAATTTGAAAATGGTTTTAAATCTGCTCTAAAATGACTCCTAACTAAATTAGGCTCCGCCCATTTTGAAATTAGATTTCACAATTTTGGCGGCATAATGTGTAAATGCGCTCTGTCTTGCTTAAATTTTGTATGAACTTAAAAATTTAGAAACCATTGTTTTTGTCTTGTCAGGAGCTTTAAAATGAGCCTAAACAAGACTAATTTTGGTGAAAAATAAGCTCCGCCCCTTTTTGGGACCCAAAAATCAAAATGGGCGGAGCATAGTCGTGTTTGCGCTCATTTTGAAGCACGAAATGTGAGAAATTCAAATTCAACACGCTTTGCGCTTCAAAATGAGCCTAAACGTGACTAGGCTCCGCCTTCATCGAGTTTCCGGTCGCGTCGCGGTCATGCGTCGCGTGTCTTGGCAATATTTTAAAATGGGCGGAGCCTAGTCGTGTTGGGGCTTATTTTGAAGCTAAAGACCTCAAAAATACAGTAATACTACTCACTTGCATACATTTTGCACACAATCCGCACCATCCACACATTCCTCATTGGTATGACATCCACCGCCAACCTTCACACGGACTACACACGCCCCATCCACCAGAATCTCATTTTCAGCACATCCTGGAAGTACAGTAATTCTCATAAATCTACAGTAGTCTTTATTAAAACTACAGTACCTCCTTCCTCCTTACTACAACAGATATTCTTATTCTTGTGTGTTGTACTCTTGACACATTCGTATCCATCTGAGCACATATCTGGTCCCGGCAGGCATTCTTGAGCATTTCCATCGATCGCAATGAATGCGGCACGGAATAATGGACAACCTGCGGAAAATTTTTAAATTTTTCGAAAAAAATGTTTTTTTGAATTTTTGAAAAATTTGGAAATTTTTTTTTTCAAAAATTATGATTTCTATATACCCATCGATGCGAAATTCAAAAACAAAGACAGTTTCTGTTGACAAAAAATTCCAAAAATCAGCTAGAAAAAAGCTATGGACCAAAAACTGATCCAAAAATGACTGGAATTTAAAAAATCGCACTGAAAATGGGTCATAACTTTTTTCCAGCCCAATTTCGTAATTTTTGGTCAACAGAAACTGTGTTTATTTTTGAATTTTACATCGAATGGTATATAAAAATCAATATTTTCAAAAAAAAAGTTTTTTTTTCGAAATTTCAAAAAATTCTCACCACCACTCTGTCCACAACACTGGAATTGTCCCTTTTTGGCTGAAAATTGGCAGAAGAATCCCGTGGGACACGACTTTGCCTCTCCAGCAGTACACGCTCTTGTCTGATTTGATCTTTTATCGATTAGTGCGAATTGTTTAGTCGGGCACCCATCATCCAGGATAGTTGGCTTAATGGCGCGCGTTGGACGCGTCCCACAGCATTGATACTTTTGATTTGTGAGGGACCATTGGCAGGTGAATTCCACTGGACAGGTGTCGTCGGATAGGAATGGGTCACACGATTTGACCACGCCCTCTTCCTAAAAAATTGAATTCGAAATCGAGGAAATTGGAGAAAAATTATAATTTTGCAAAAATTTTCAAAAAATTTTAATTTTCAAAAGTGTGGTATGTATATACCATTCGATGTAAAATTCAAAAATAAGCACAGTTTCTATAGACAAAAATTTTCAAAAATCCAAATGAAAAAAGTTATGAGCTGAAAATGATGAAATTTTGGCTGAAATCAGGTAAAATGGCTCATAGCTTTTTTCTAGCTGATTTTTAGGATTTTTTGTCATCAAAAACTCTATTTATTTTTGAATTTTACATTGAATGGTATATAAAAATCAAAAATTTTTCAAAAAAAAATTTTTTTTCAACTTTTCGAAAAATTAGAATTTTTCCAAAATTTCCAACCTGCACATAAGCATACTGTCCCGGTGGACATCCATCATTGATTCCATGTTTCTCCTCTCCTTGACAACAATAGAAATTCAGTGTATCCGGTTGTTGTTGACATGTATAGCCCGTCGGACAAAATGAGAATCCCTCATTTGTACAGGTTGTTGGCAATTGGGTCTTCTCGTCCTGATGGAATGCGACCTCTCCCGGACAGATTGCTGAAATACGGTAGACATTGATTGAAAATAGATTTAAAATTCGGAATTTTCCACTTTACCCCGTCATTCTAGCTTGAAAACTAACCAAGTTATAGCTGTTGGAACATTTTTTATGCGAAGGAAATCTTAAAACTACCGTATCACTTCAAATTTTGATTTTAGACAATTGGTATTGATCTTACTGGCCTTGTCTCGTTGCAAGCTTCAAAATGAGCCCAGCCACAACTAGGCTCCAACGACTTTGTACTTTCCGTTGCGTCGCGGTCGTGCGTCGCATGCGCAAGGGGAAAGTTCAAAGTGGGCGGAGCCTAGTCGTGTTTGGGCTCATTTTGAAGCGCAAAACCTGACAAGTAGAATGAAGTAACTAAAAAGTGTCGGAAATCCGATTTTAAAGAGATACGGTAGTTTGAACACTTCTCCGATAAAAAAGGTTCCAAAACTGTTCAAATGGCTATAACATTGTTAGTTTATTTAAGTATAAATTTCAAAAGATCCAAACTCTTTAAGATACACAAAACTCACGATTATGGGAGCAACAGTAACCCTGGAACGCTCCCTGCACATCACTCATACAAGCGAATCCATTTGGACAAGAAGACTGAAGTGGAGAAATATGACACTGTACAGGTAGCTGAGTAGTTGCGTATCTATAAAGGGACCGCCCAGCTGGACACAATGCTCCTTGAATGTTTCCACAGCAATAATATTTATGATTTGTCTGCGAAAATCTGCAAAGATATCCTCCTGGACACTTTCCATCAGCAGCCATTGCACATTGTCTCGGAGTATTTGTACGCGGATCCATAAACGCCTTTTCACCAGTTGGACACACTCCCATACCGTCTGAACCGCAGCAAGTGTGCTCCTGGAAACATTTTTGGAATGTAACTTTTTTCAGCATAGTTATTGGATTTTGAAAACTATATCGCTGTTATTTTCTTATTGAGAGCTTCAAAATGAGTCTAAACACGACTATTTTCCACTCACTTTGATTTTTTGGACGCGTCGCGGTCATGCGTCGCGTACTACATTGAAAACTCGAAGTGGGCGGAGCCTAGTCGTGTGGGGGCTTATTTTGAAGCTAATGACTAGCTCCAGTTATTGATTTTTGTTTTATTTTGGTTTGCACAGAAACTAATTGTGTTACTGTAAAATGAAGGTTTCCAGTCAAGATCCAACAATTTGAAATTTTCACATCTTCAAAGTTAGTCGTGTTTATGCTCATTTTGAAGCGCAAGTCAAGACTAAAATAATATCGTTTGAATTTTTGATCTTGGTCCAAATTTAAGCGAGTTAGAGCACTTTTACATATTTTTGGATCCCACCACGAAAGTTCGAAATTTTCAAAGTTGACCAAATATAGTCGTGTTTAGCCTAATTTTGAAAAGCAATTTACCACAAACCGAATGATATAAAAATCATAGAGTTTAAGAAAAAACTAACCGAGATACGGTAGTTTTTGTGTTTTCGTGGTGGGACCTAAAAATGTGTAAAGGCATTATCTCACTTAGATGTTGCTCAAATTGAAGAATTGAAACAGTAATGTCTTTGTCTTGCTTGGAGCTTCCAAATGAGCCTAAACACGACTAGGCTCCGTCCACTTTGAAATTTCCATGTAACACGCGTCGCACGACCGCGACGCGACCGAAAAATCAAAGTGAACGGAACCTAGTCGTGTTTAGCTTCATTTTGAAGCTCTTAACAAGCCTAATCTAATGAAATTTGTTTCATTGAGTTAGCACAAAAATGAACCGAGTTACGATAGTTTCAAGTTTCAAAACGAGACGATTCTTTAAACTATTCTAACCTTGCCCATTTTCGAGCGAGAATTTTGTTTTGAATTTCAAGATCTGTAATTTTTAGGCCAATTGTTTAGATATCTTACCTGTGTCAACGCATTCAATGTGCACTCATAATTCGAGGGACAATTATTCTGAAGAGCTGTATTACACACAAATGGCTTATTGGTATTCGGATCCTTGTATACAGTATCCCCAAGTGAGCAGCCGGCAGACATGCAGAAGTCTTCACATTCCGAAATTGAGTTGAACGAGTTGAGAGAAGTGTCACAGCCGTTTGATGTATAGGAGGAGCACGTTTGAAGAGCCATATTGAAGTAGTACCTGTGAAATTGGGGGCTTTAAAATGCTTCTGAGAGGTTTAAAACCCCTAAAATCCTTCTTAAACAGTGAATTTTACCCTAAAAAGAGCTGACAAATAAATAACTAACTTTAAAACTCGAGGCGGGATCGAACCCGGGACCCTCTGCTTCCTGGCCAAAGCCACTAACCACTATACTAGACCCACACAACTTTTCATTGTTAATTTTCCAAAATTTGGCTCAGCCTAATTTTCCAAAATCGTCAAGCACGGTTTTCCTCAGACGGGTAAACGGCAAGTAGGAAATCATCACAGCCGCCGACATCACCGGCGCGCCGAGAGGTGTGTAAACGAAGCGGCCGACATCTCCCGGGTTCCGCCGCCCGCTATGTTTTGTGTGTGCGCCCGACTCCGCCCACTTTTCCCGTTTACTTGATAGAATTGCCCAATTTTGATGTTTTTGAGCCATTTTTTCTGGTTTCTAGCGTGAAAAATTGTGAAAAATCCAATAAAATTGATGAAACCTTTTGGGGGTTTGCTTTTAATAGGGAAAACGCTCTTTTTTATTGGTTTTTTGCTTTTATTGTGGTTTCTAGATCAATTTTTCGAATTTTTTCAGATATTTTGAGGACCATATTGAAATGTGGTCCAATTGACACAAAAAAAAAAGTATCCCACCTAGTTTGTCCGCTTCCACTGCTACATTTTGGGAGCATTCCCATTTGAGGAGGTTTTGAGCAAATGGAGACTGAAAAATTTGAATTTCGCGGGTTTCGAAAAACTACAGTATACCTTTAGATGGGCAACACCGTCTCTGCATGACTCCATTGGCTTCTACAATACTACAATCGTAGCCGGATGGGCATGGTTCGTGTGTAGAGCAGGAACGGACTTTGGAGTTGGTTCGAAGAGGACTTCCACCGTTTGGACAAACTGGAAAATATGGAAAAGTGATTTTAAGGCTGAGCAATTTCTATAGAGTGGTTTTTGATGCAAAAATATGTAAATTTTGATTAAAGAATAACGAAAATGAAGGAAAATTCAATAGAAAATTGGGTAAAAATCTGTGAACCCCTTTAAAATTGCAATAAAATAGTTCCCCCAGCCTCCCCCAGTCTTCTCACAAAAACCATAAAAAGAAATACACCAAGAAAGTTCGAACCCTTGACCTCTAGATCCAAGGGCAAAAGCGTTAGCCATTGGGCTAGTGAGCACACTGAGAGAAGGGGAGCGGAGGGCGTATAAGAGGAGGAAGTGGGGAAACGCGGGGAAGTCGCTGGAGGAATTTTGAAGGATGAAAAAAGTCAAATTTCGGGCTGAAAATCCAAAATAAGTCAATTTTAGGAGTTTTTTTCTATGGAAAATCTTTACGTTTTGATTTTAATTTATGAACAAGCATCCGTGCAAAAACACATAAATTTTCTTCTTAAAATACCGAAAATGAATGGAAATTTGATTGAAAACTGGCTCAAATTCTTTGAAATCGCATGAAAATAGTTTTCCCAGCCTTCCCTTGCCTTCTCACAAAAATAAAAAGAGAAATACCCCGAGAAGTTTCGAACCCCGGATCTCTTGATCCAAAGGCAAAATCACTATCCATTAGACTAACGCGCACTATGAGGATAAAGGCGCGGATGACGTATAAGAAGGGAGAGGAAATTGGAGGCGCACAGAGGGCGAGGGGAATTTTTGAATTTTTGAAAATGTCAAAATTTCTGGCTGAAATCTGAAAATTGGTCAATTTCTACCATTTTTAACGGAAAATACCCCAAAAAAGGGGAAAAATTAACTTACTAGCAATTTCACAATAATTTTGGCACTTTTCAATCGACGGGAAGTTGTTGGAGTTGCCATCACAGCCCAAGAAAAGGAAGCTTTGGCATTCCTTCAATAAAATTATATTAAAACTGAAATTTTCGAAAATTCTGACCCAGAAAAACCTACCTTCGCTTGATTATTATAAAAATAACGATAGCTGGAGCCTGAACCACATCCGATTCCCTTATTAACTTGAAGAGAGCAAGTATAGGCTTTACTTGGACAACAACCGTATACCAGACCATCAAAAGTGCACTCATAGTTGGCTGGACACGCCGTACCACCTAGTCCTTCTCCGCATTGCATGAATTTCCCGGAAAAATCCACATAGGCTCGACCTTGGGGGCATTTTGGCTCGGCTAAAACATACTTTTGTAATTTCAGTTCCTTAGTTTTTGTTTAAAACTGAAATACGTTACAGATTTGAATTCAGCGCAAAAAATGCTTGAAAATGAGTATAAACACGACTAGGTTCTGAAAAATTTGCAGTTTTTTTGACTTTTGGGTCCAAAAAATGTGTAAACTGGCTCTAACTCGCTTAGGAATTGTACAAATCGAAAAAATTCAAACGGCATTGTATTTGGCAAGTCAAGAACTTTTCAAACGAACCTAATCACGGCTAGGTTCTGTTAAGTTCCATTTTCCGACGCGTCGCGGTCGTGCGTAGCGTGCTTAAAGAAATTTCAAAGTGGGCGAAGCTCAGTCGAGTTTAGGCTCATTTTGAAGCACTAGACAAGACAAACACAGTGATGTTTGAATTTTTCGATTTAAACAAAATTTTAGCGAGTGAGAGCAGTTTTACACTCTTTCGGGTCCCACCACGAAAAATTCCAACTTTTCCATTTTTTTCCCCAAATCTAGTCGTGTTAAAACCTCTATTACTGTATATCTCGTAAAATGCGCTTTAAAATGAGTTCAAACTCGACTAGACTCCGCCCATTTTGAAATTTCACCTTGACACGCGACGCCCGACCGCGATGCACCGTAAAAACCAAAGTGGGCGGAGCCTAGTCGAGTTTGGGCTCATTTTGAAGCTCTGAACAAGACAGATATGACTGTGTTTTTAAAAATTCAAAATTCTCGATTTTTCAGAAGTTACAGCTTAAAAAAAGATTTGTGTCAAAACTGATCTAGCTCGTTTTCTATCGATTTTTCTCGAATTTTTTGCATTTTTTTCCCATTCTCCAAGATTCCATTGCTCACCATTAATATTTTTACAGTAACTCTGACACTCATTCAACGAATTGAATCGATTATTGTTGCCCTGGCATCCAGTGTACAGGAACGATTCGCACGTTTTGGTTTCAGCGTTATACCAGAATTGGCGGACACTCTGTTTGCAGTCGCCAACACGAAGTGGTTCAGTGCACAGGGTTTCTGAAAATTTCAGACAAATTTTGGAATTTTTTTTTTGGAATTTTAAAATTTTTCAAAAATTCAAAAAATTCAAATTCCAAGTTTTTCGCGCCAAAACTACTTACGAGGCGTTGGACAACAAACTTGATGCTCCATTGCACATGTATGGGTCGATGGGCAGTCCGTATCCCGGGCACATCTCTGTGGAGAGCCATTTCCATTGGTTAGGGGACTTCCATGGGGGCATTGTACTGAAAATTTTCCGAGTCATTAGATTTTTAGCGTTCAATTTGAATTTGGCAAGTCGACAGCTTCCAAATGAGCATAAACACGACCAGGTTCCACCTATTTTAAGCTTCTGGAGGCTATAAGAAAAGGCAGAGCCTAAATTCTCAAAATGGGCGGAGCCTAATCGGGTTCGGGCTTACTTTCACACATTTTTTCTTGCAAATCTGGATTTGGCAAGTCGAGAGCTTCAAAATGAGTCTACATACGACTCGGTTCCGCCCATGTTGAGTTTTCAGGCGCGTCGCGGTCGTGCGTCGCGTGTCTAGAAGTTTCAAAGTGGGCGGAGCCTAGTCGTGTTTGGGCTCATTTTGAAGCTCTTACGAAGCCAAATGTGATTATAACAGAAAATTTGCGTTTACTGACCAAGCTTTGGACTTCTAGGTTATTTAACTGTTTCTAGGTCATTCAACCCCTTTTTGGGCCCTTTTAGAATATTTTGAGCCGTTTTTGACAAAATTTTGACAAAATTTTTTTGAAGTCTTGCAGATCAGCTACAGAAATTTTATTTTGGATATTCCGCGCTTAAGAATAAGCTCAAAAACGACCTTAATTGAGCTATTTTGAGAATAGGCTCCAGCCCTTATAAAAGTGGGCGGTGCCCAACAGTTTTTGGGTTGTTTTTTGAGCGTTTTTAACATTGAATTCAAACTTAGCACGCCAATAGCTTCAAAATGAGCCTCAACACGACTAGGTTCCGTTCACATTGATTTTTCAGACGCGTCGCGGTCGTGCGTCGCGTGCCTTGTGAAAATGTCAAAGTGGGCGGAGCCTAGTCGTGTTTGGGCTGATTTAGAAGCGCAACACATTGAAAATTGGAATCTAGCACTGAAAATGTAAGAAAATGAGCCCAAACTCGACAAGGATCCGTCAACTTCATGGGACCACCAAAAGTGGGCGGAGCCTACTTTCAAGTCTTAAAATTATTCAAAATAAGTCGTGTTTAAGCTCATTTTAAAGCGTTTTTTGAGCTGAACACGAAATAACTCACATCTCGCGCAAAACAGCTGGCAATCGGCTTGATTTTGGAAATTATTGAAATTTCCCAAGAATCCGTTGAATGTGAATGGATGACACTGGCCGTCGGTAGGATTGTAATAGTAGCGAGTGCTATTCCAACAGCATAATTAGCTGTCTCTCCAGTTAACTGATCGAAACGATGCCCGGCGTCGTATGGTGTACTTCTAAGGGGGTCTTTGAATCGGGCACCTGCTTCGGAGCATATTGATTCTGAAAATTTCCGGGAAATAATTGATTTTTCAGCAATTCAAAGTATCTAGCTGTTTTTAGTAGGTTTTTAGCTTCAAAATGAGCCTAAACACGACTAGATTCCCTTCATTTTGATTTTTCAGGCGCGTCGCGGTCGTGCGTCGCGTGCCTAGGTGAAATTTCAAAGTGGGCCGAGCCTAGTCGTGTTTGGGCTCATTTTGAAGCTCTTGAGAAGACTAACATCATGTTTTCTGAATTTTTGGATTTGGAAAATTTCTAAACGGGTTACAGTACTTTTACACATTTTTGGAACCAGAATTCGAAAATTTTCAAATTTTGTCAAAAAAATTGCTGAAAATATTTTCGAAAAACATCATAAATATACGTTTTATGTTATATGCTTCAAAATGAGCTTAAACACGACTAGGCTCCGTCCATTTTGAAATTTTTCCTGGACACGCGTCGCACGACCGCGACGCACCGGAAAATTCAAAGTGGACGGAGCTTATTCGTGTGGGGGCTCATTTCGAAGCTCTTAACAAGACAATCAATTCTGTGCCATTAAAAAGGCAAAATTAGGAGTTTTGAAAAGTTACAGGGCGAAAATGATAAAAAATCGAAAAAATATTCCCAAAATCTGATTTTTCCAGATTTTTCTAATATTTTCATAAACTTACTCCGACTAGCACAACACATTGATTGACTCGCGACTTCTGTGCACACAAATGGATCAGTACATGGATTTGCCGTCGAGCAACCGGTTTGTGGAAGACGTGCACTGTTTGGTGAGCCTTTCGTCGATAGGTAGGCGGGGTTTCCACGGGGACAGGCTGAAAATAACTGGGCTAAAAATAACGATTTGAATTTTTCGAAAAAAATGCTCCAAAATGAGCCCAAACTCGGCTAGAATTGGATGTGTTTGAGCTCCGCCTCTTTTTGGCTCCGCCCCCAAAAAGCCATTTATGTGGGCGGAACATAGTCGTATTCGGGTTCATTTTAAAGCATTTTGCAAGCCAAATTCAAATTTTCTAGTTGTCGCGCTTCAAAATGAGTCCAAACACGCCTATGCTCCGTCCACTTTGAAAATTCCTCCAAGCACGCGACGCACGACCGCAACGCGCCGTAATTATGAAAGTGGGCGGAACCTAGTTGTGTTTAGGCTCATTTTAAAGCTCAGAAGCTCACAAATTTAAATATCATAATTTCTAATCTTTAAAATAAATCCAACCATAACTAGAGCCAATTTACACTACCCACCCTTCAATTACGGGATAATTTCTAAAAATGGGCGGAGCCTATCACAAAATCGCACAATTCCAGCCAAATTTAGGCTCATTTTGAAGCTCAAAATCTCGCAAATTCAATTGTTTAGCTCGTAACTCACTATCTTTGCAATAACTCTCGCAATGGTCCAAAGTTTCAAAGTTGTTCGGCGACACTTCGGAACCAGTTGGATCAAAAAGGAATTGCTGACACGAGCCCATGACCGAATTGAAATACCATCTTGGCACGGAGCCAAGTGCATCGGATTCTCCCTTTTTTGGCTGCATACAAGTGAATGCTCGATTCATACAACACACGCCAATCGGGTGGGAAGAAGTGTCCATTCCTTGATCCTTCCAGAATTTTGAATTATCAATGCAATCGTAGAGATCAGAGACGTCCTGTGGTTCGGGTTCATCTCCTAACTGGAAGATTTTAAAATTTTTAAATTTGGCCGGAAAGGAGCTTTCAAAAGAGCCTAAACACGTCTGGTCTCCGCCCATTTTGAGGGTAATATAGGTTCCAGAATGGAACTCTACAGTAACCCAGCAAAAAGTGGGCGGAATCAATTTTATGCTGATTTCAGATAGCTGAAACTGCTAAATTTGGATTCACCTTGAAAAATGCTTCAAAATGAGCCTAAACACGTCTGGTCTCCGCCCATTTTGAGGGTAATATAGGTTCCAGAATGGAACTCTACAGTAACCCAGCAAAAAGTGGGCGGAATCAATTTTATGCTGGTTTCAGATAGCTGAAACTGCTAAATTTGGATTCACCTTGAAAAATGCTTCAAAATGAGCCTAAACACGTCTGGTCTCCGCCCATTTTGAGGGTAATATAGGTTCCAGAATGGAACTCTACAGTAACCCAGCAAAAAGTGGGCGGAATCAATTTCATGCTGATTTCAGATAACTGGAACTGCTAAATTTGGATTCACCTTGAAAAATGCTTCAAAATGAGCCTAAACACGTCTAGGCCCCGCCCATTTTGAAATAAGGCTTCGCCCACTTTTAGGGGTCCATTGTAGCTTAATGTGGGCGAAGCCTAGTCGTGTTTAGGTTTAATTTGAAGCATTTTACAGGTCGAATTTGAATCTAGCGTAAAAAATGCTTCCAAATGAGCCTAAACATGACTAGCCTCCGCCCATGTTGAAAATTTCAATTAGACACGCAACGCACGACAGCGACGCGTCCGAAAAAAAAAATGAGGGCGGAGCCTACTGGTGTTTAGGCTCATTTTGAAGCGTTTTTTAAAACAAATTCATTGGTATAGTTTTTATCAATCTAGTTTAAAAACTAAGTGAGTTACGGTAGTTTTATTGCTTGGGATTACTGTAATTTCTGGAATTTTCGTCTAAATGGGCGGAGTCTAGTCGTGTTTAGGCTCACTTTGAAGCTCTCAACGTGGCAAACTTGAATTTCAAACTGAAAACTCACAAATCCTCGAACCGAACACTTAAAATTGTGTTGTTTGTTCAAAAGGTCCTCCTCTCGTTTCGGCGTGTCTGATGAGTGAGGATTACATGGGGCAATGGTGACACTCGTTTTTCCTGGAATTTTTTTTGGCATTAGAGCATGAATGCATAGCTCAGAGTGCGCAGTTTCAAAAAAAAAAAATTATCTGAATTTTTTTTTTCAAATTTTTCAAAATCCTACCTGCCGCCGCCGGTAGGACCACTAGACTTGATGGAGAGTCCGGAGGTGGAAGTGATGGTAGTGGACACGATGGTTCGGATGTGGACCATACGCAGAGAGTTCCGTCTCTGAAAATTTTCTGGAATTTTAGGGAAAAAATCTTAAAATTTTCGAAAATTTTTAATGAGGCGGAATTTTGATTTCTAGTGTTTTTTTATTATTTTGAGCTCATTTCTAGCTTGAACCCAAACACGACTAGGCTCCGCCCACTTTGAATTTTCACTTAGACACGCAACGCACCACATGAAAAATCAAAGTGGGCGGAGCCTAGTCGTGTTTAGGCTCATTTCAAAGTTTGAAGCGAGCTGAGAAAGATGACGACCTTAAAAATTTGAAAATTTGAAGTTTGAGACAGAAAATTCCGAAATTGAATTTTTTTTTTTATTTTTACTTCAAGCTCCAAAATTCTTGAAAACTAGTCAGATTTACATATTTATATGTTTTTTATTGTTTTCAGCTTATTTTCAGCTTTAAAACGAGCCCAAACGCGGTTAAGCTCCGCCCACTTTGAAATTTCACCTAGACACGCGACGCACGACCGCGACGCACATGAAAAATCAAAGTGGGCGGAGCCTAGTCGTGTTTAGGCTTATTTTGAAGCTCATGACGAGCTGGAGAAGATAATGAGCTTGTAATTTGAAATTTTCGAAATTTTAGAGAAAAAAAATTGAAAACTATTTTTCGAAATTTTTGATTCCGGGTATTCTCATTCATTTTTCATCGAATTTTCTGGAATTTTTTTACAGTATGACACTTACTTCGTCTTAACAGCAATCATATCATCCGACGGGCACATACATTGCCCATTTTTACAATAGGAATCTGGCCAAACCGATGCACACTGAATATCGTAGAAGCATCCAGAGTCGCTGGGAGAAATTTCTGGAAAATTTTTTTTTTGGCTACAGTAATCCCACCTGCGAATTAAGAAAACTCACTTTCATAACAATAGGCATCCACAGCGACATAAGTTGACAAACAACGACACTGTCCAATTGCACAGAACATTCCACCCAGGCAATCAGTGTTAAATGAGCAAATATCACCGACTCGACCGGACCCTGAAATTATAGAACATTTAAAATTGAATTTTCCATTATTTTCTATAAATTTCACTTTTTTCAGATCTGAAAAATCTTCATTTTAAGCTGAGATATGCCTAAAAAGCGTAAAATAAAGGAAAATCGATTTTCGAAAAATTCAATTTTACCTAGAAGACCACAAAAAATTGATTTTCCAGATTTTTGATTACTGTCATCGTATTTAACTTGTCAAGAGCTTCAAAATCAGCCCAAACACGACAAGGCTCCGCCCACTTTCATTTTTCCGGCGCGACGCGGTCATGCGCCGCGTGCGCTAGGTGAAATTTCAAAATGGGCGGAGCCTAGTCGTGCTTGAGCTCATTTTCAAGCATTTTTTTTGCTGAATTTAAGTTCGACTTGTAAAATGCTTTACAATGAGCCCAAACATGATTAGGCTCCGCCCACTTTAAGCCCTTGGGGACCCCTAGGAATAGACGGAGCCAAACTGTCAAAGTGGGCGGATCCTAGTCGTGCTTGGTCTCATTTTAAAGCTCATTTCAAAATACACAATTGGATATCAATTTTTTCAAGTTATCACCAAAACTGAGCAAGATACGATAGTTTCAAAAATCCTATTATTATAAATTTTGGCTCCGCCCACATTTTGGAACATTTTGAGACTTAAAATGGGCGGAGCCTTGTCGTGTTTTGACTCATTTTAAAGCTAATTGAATTTTACGCATTATACAATTATTTTCATAGGTTTCAGGCAAAGATCAAAAAGGATAGGGTAGAATTTCAGAATGAAAATTTCGCAAAATTGTATTTTCCGAAAAAATCTTAAAAATCTCATATCTCAATCAATTTTTAACACTTTTGGGTGATTTTTAGTGCTAAATGTAGCTTATTTTCTCCTTATTCTTATCAAATTGTTAAATTTGAAAATTGTCAAAAAATTAACCTACCAGAGGTCCCCTGAGAATGGAACACCTGCATCGCCGGATCCACACAGTCCCTGGTAGCCAAACTGAAATGGACACGCCCATCTTCTGAGCAAATCTCTTGTTTCCAGGTGCCATTTGTACATGTCAAATAGGAGCTGTGCTCGATATCGATTTTTCTGAAAAAATCAAATTTTGAGAGAAAAAATATTTTTGGTCCAAAAATTTTTTTTTTCAATTTTTTTAATTTTTTCGAAAAACCCACTTAGTCCTTGGATTGCAGAATAAGAAGGCCTCTTTCTCGATTTCTGGATTTTTCTCGCATTTTGTGCTCAATTCCGCTTTCAGACTACAATTTGAGCACAGCTCGTTGAGCTGGCATTCTTGAAGAGCTCCAGATGCTCCAAAAATGGAGAGGAGGACGAGGTACGGTATCATACCTGAAATCTCGGGATTTTGAAGTTAAGGGGGGGGGAGGGGATAGAGCAAGAAAAATGGTCTAAAAAATGTTTAAAATTGAAAACTTGCTGAAAAAAAATTTTCAAAAAAAATTGTTTTTCCAAAATTTTTAAAAAACTAAAATTCTAAATTTAAGCTTATCAATAGATAAAACTAAAGAAATAAAAATGACCGAGTAGCTGGTCGAGTAGATCAAAAGTAAACAAAGCCGGGCGTGAAAATTCACACTTGAGAGCCCCCCGGTAGAGCCACTTGAAAGTGACCGACACTTAAGATAGATGCGTGAGGTGGTGTTCAAGATTTTCCAAAGATTTTGAAATTTATATCATTTTGAAGAGCGGGAAGAGGTCTATATTTATCAATTTCGATGTTCTTGAAATTTGGGTTTTGAAGGGATTTATGGGCTAAAATGTTATGAGCAAGGGTTGCGTCAGAGGCACACCAGGTTTCAATTTGTTTTTTCTTAGGGACCGAAATATGAAAAATGCGAATATTTTATATCATTTTCAAGAACAAAAAGAGGCTTATATTTATCAGTTTAGATAATTTTGAAATATTGATTTTGAGAGGAGTTACAAGCTAAAATGTAACGGGTATAGGTCGAGCTAACGGTTCCAGGTTTCAATTCGTTTCGGATCAAGGATTGAAAAATTTGAAGTGCACAAATTTTTTATCATTTTGAAGAGCAGAAAGAGGCCAATATTTATCAATTTAGATAATTCAAAAATATTGGTTTTGAGGGAAGTTATGACCTAGAATGTAATGGGTAAAAGTTGGGTCAGAGCAATAACGAGTAGCTTCTAGCTTTAGGCCACTTCATCTCATTTCCTGTAAAAGGTATCAAAAAGTGATCAACTGATAAATTATTAATCACAATGTCAGCAACATTTTATCAGTTGATTACTTTTTTGTATCTCTCATACGAACCGAAATAAATTGGCTCAAAGTTAACGGATGGGCTGGGCGGTATACGGTATGTAATCCCTTTACATTTTAGCTCATAACTCCGTTCAAAAATAATATTTTTGATTGATTTAAATTGATAATTATAGAACTTTTCCAGTTTTTAAAAATAATATAAACTTCAATTAATTTCTTATGAAAATTCGGGGAAGTTGTGAGCCCTAAGTACCATCAACAATGACACCCGAACTCAATTATCTGGGTCACTGTGAGAGATATCAAAAAGTAGTCAACTGATAAAGGGTTTAGCATAATATCAGCTACATTTTATCAGTTGACCATTTTTGATATCTTTTACAGGAAATGAGATATACGGGCTCAAAGTTGACGGTTAGGAATGCATTCCAAAAGTCGACGATATGCTCATCAAGTTTGGACTTGTAACTCCCTTCAAAATCAAAATTTCAAAACGATCTAAGCTGATGAATACAGTACTCTTTTTGTCCTTCTAAATAATATAAATATGTGCACTTTAAATGTCTTGATTCCCAAGCAAAACCCATTGGAAAACGGTTATGTTTCGGACTTAATCGTGAACACAATTAACTTTCAACTTTGAGCCAGTTTATCTCGGTTACTGTAAGAGGTATCAAAAAGTGGTCACCTGATAAAATGTTTATCATGATATCAGCAACATTTTATCAGTTGACCACTTTTTGATATCTTCCACAGGAAATGAAATATATGAGCTCAAAGTGGACGGTTAGGAATGCATTCTTTTAGAGTGTAAACGGTATGTACTAAAGGAAGAGATAAGGGAATTATCAAGTAATCAATTGTGAAGAAGAAGCTCAAAAGGTGCAAAGACACCTAGTGTGTGTCCTTCGATATATCCCCATTTCGGCTCTCTTTCTCCCCCCCCCCCCCTTCCCCCCACCCACTTCTGAAATACACGATATTATTGTCCGCGTGAAAAAGAGAGCCGTTCTCTAGACTCTCTATCCCACACTATTTCTCTCGGTCGATTTCGATTTCAATTGAGATTGGATCTCGATTACGTGATCAAATAGTATCCGATGGGTATGGGAGGGGATACTGAGAAGAAAAGCAAACAATTCGGAACACTAGACAATGGAGAGAGTGGGTGATCTGTGGAGGGTGTTAGGAGCGAAAAAATGGTGATAAAAGTGTCACTTTTTTTTGGAGGGATTTGGATTTTACGGACTTTTTTTAGGTTGGTCAGATTTTGACATATTGCATGTAGTAGTTGAGTTTCCAACTTTTTACAGTGACCTGGTTTTTTTGGGATTTTGAGATTAAGGAATTTTGAGTTTTACACAATTTAGGAAGAATGAAAAACTACAGTATTCCTGAAAATCGAAGTTGTAAGATTTTATCCCGAAAATAACCGAAAAATAGAAATTTCATAGTAAAAAATTTTACAGGAACCGAGATATAGGGGGCTCAAAGTTAAACTATATGTTGGGCTTCAGAGATATTAGAACAGCAAACACACTGTCAACTTCGAGCCAATGTGTCTCATTTTCTGTGAAAGATATCAAAAAGTGGTAAACTAGTAAAATGTTGCTAATATTATGATAAACATTTTATCAGTTTGCAATTCTCAGGTATCTTTCACAAGAACTGACATATATGGGCTCAAAGTTGAAGTGTTGGATGGGCAGATTCGGCCGGAGGCAACGAAAACTTGTGTATTCTACAAAATTGAATCATGATCTATCAGAATCCATCGAAATATCGGGTGGCATCCCCCTTCCATCTAACACTTTTAGTCCAATTTGTCAGTCCGACTCCTATTTTTCGAAGTTTTCGAATCGAAATAATGAAATTATTGAAAAACTGATGATTTCATTTGATTTATCGCAGTTGATTACATTGGGACAAGTCTTAACCCTAAAAATATAGAGTTTCTAACGCCCGGTAGAAGACTTCAAAGATATATATATATATATATATATATATATATATATATATTCATAAGTTGCTGGGTTACTGTATGAATTTAAAAATCCAAACGTTCATTTTCAGTGTTCATAATTTACGTTTTCAATCGATTATTGTAGATGCCGTACAATGACTCATGGGAAGGACATCACCTCCATCTACCTTGGTCTAGACGCCACCAGATTCGGTTCTGATTCCTGGGAGCACGAAGACAGTCTCACCCATTTTCTCCCTTACGAACCATCGTCATTCTATCTGTGTCCCATTTCCCAATTCAAGGCATTTCCCCCCGTTCGAATGCCTTTTCCAATACTACGTACTCCATTTGTCGTGCTATCAGAAATCATCAGTTTCTTGGAACCTAATCAAATGTAAGTTTTATATATATTTTTTTTTATCCGGGCCTTCGCGGGCCCTACCATATTTTTTTTCAGAATCAATATTTTCTAACCAACTATATCAGATATGATAGAACTCGACGAGTACTATGAAATGATACTATTTGGGTTACTGTATACTGTCTTTGAACAAAGTTAAAGACGAAAAAAAAAATGAAAGCCACTTTATGACATTTAACTTTGTTTTATACAGTTTTTCCAAGTAGTATCATTTTGTAGCACTCGTTGAGTTATTCAATTTAGTATGGCAGGGCCCGGTGGCAAGTATTATAATTACTACTAGTAATTATAATTTTATTTGATTTGATTTGATAGGACACGTTTTCAGAGTGACTGTCTCCTGCTGCTCCAAAAAAGTGAGACTTTCTTCTAAAAGGTCATTATGAACAAAGGAAACCATTGGAGACTAATCCTGCTAGATTATGACTCTCGGAGACTAGTCGACATTGTGACATCTAAAGGCGGCGAGCAGATAACTGTCATATCAGCGCTCAAAGAACACAAATTGAAACATACAAATGGACACATAAGAGCGTTTGCCTCCTCGAAACATCCACTTCTTCATTTCAATGATCTAGTATTGAGAATAAAAAGAGAATTGTGGATTATGTCACTGGTCTGTTTGGCCTAGATATCTACGGTTTACTAGCTGATCGAAAGGGAATTTAGGCAATCGATTGGATCAATAATCGACAGGAGAAGATGCTGCTAGAGCGTTTCGAATTGCGTAAGAACCCCCCAAGTATAGTTCGAATGCTGATGAAACGTTAGATTATGTGCTCAGGTAATATTTAGCAGGAGTTCCTCTTAAATGTTAATAGTGTTTACAGAAACGCACGTGTTTCACACTTTTGTAATATCCCAAACACGACTAGGCTCCGTCCACTTTAATTTTTCAGACGCGTCGCGGTCGTGCGTCGCGTGTCTAACAGAACTTTTCAAAATGGGCGGAGACTAGTCGTGTTTGAGCTCGTTTTGAAGCTCATGATGCGCTCAAAACAATGAAGAGAACTAGAAATTGAAATTCAGATGGATTTCCCGAAATTTTGTGAATTCAGAAAAAAAAACATTTTGGATTTTTTCAACTATTTTTTCAAATTTTTTCGGACAATCAAATCACGTTAGATTATGTGCTCAGGTAATAGTTAGCAGGAGTTCCTCTTAAATGTTAATAGTGTTTACAGAAACGCACGTGTTTCTTCACACTTTGTTAAAATATCGATGGCAATGTCTCCGGCGATTTCAAGTTCGATGGAAAACTGGGTCCAATGAGACGACAGTTGTTCATTGGTTCAAACGGACACTGGCTCACTCTCAACAATTTAATTGATATCGATTGTCTCTTTATTCGCATTAACGGATCCCCAGACTCTCCGTCTCCGATTTGAATTCATTCTTGAGACAATGGCGTGCCGGTGGATGAGCTCATTTGGAGTCGTTAGACTTGAACTTCGAGAAACATACATTTCGAGAAAGGTTTGATGAAGATTTGGAAGTTGTGCACACCGACGAAGAGAGAGAGAGTGTATCGCCGCAGTTAGTAGTATGTGTATTGTTTTCATAGGCTACTGTATTTCTAGTGCGATTTTTTCAGTGATGGATGGAAAAGGGTATTTCATGGAGGCTACAGTATCCGACGGTGTGAAGGCAATGATTCACTGTGGTCCCGGACGATTCGTAATGGCTGTTTGGCATTAGAGAGCAATCGATTCATCGCAGTAATAGTTGCTATGAAATCACATTTATCAAGCAGACCAAAAATTTTGGTAATCACACCTAACCGAATACCGTAAAACCTGTAATAGAAGTGCCCCCCCTGACTTTCAACTTTGAGCTCAATTATCTCGGTTCCTGATAAAGATATCAAAAATGTGTCAACTGATAAGTTGTTTATCATGATAGCAGCAACAATTTATCAGTTGACAAATTTTTTACATCTTTATCAGGAACCGAGATAAATGGGCTCAAAGTTGAAAGTCAGGGGGCACTTCTATTACAGGTTTTACGGTATCTTCATTTAACGCCTTGTTATCAGCTACCCATTATCAGTTGTTCGGAAGTTTGAAATACCCTTTTTTCTATTTTTTTTTTCTTGTGTTTTTTTGTAATTTGTATCCTGAAACAAGATCTTTACTTGGCATGTTTACTAATCACTGTATTTGTCCACTACAGTAACCCGAAAACCCCAAAATCGAGACAGTCGTTTATGATGGGAATTTCGAATTCGATACTTCAAATTTAGGCTCCACCCACTTTCAGTGAGAAATGGTTGATTTTAGACGATTCCAGTCATTTTTTGAGCGATTTTCAAATCAAAAATCGTTAAATCAGACCCCAAAAAGTGGGCGGAGCCTATTTTTTTTTGTGGATTTTCGCGATTTTTGGGCAATTTCTGATCAAAACTCGATGACGATTTTCTGTATTTTGAGACCCCTAAAAGTGGGCGGAGCCTATTTTTAAGCGATTTTCAGAACAAATATAGTAAAAAAAAACCGTAAGAAATGAATTTAAAATATAAAAAAAATTGGGACCGGAACTCCAAATTACAAAAAAAAGGTGATTTTCGGGCTGAAAATGGGTCTGAAAAGGGTCCAAAATGCTCAAAATAGTGCTAAACAATTTTCTAGGCTCATTTTCGCCCATTTTTCCAGATTTTCAGCTCATTTTAAGCCCAAAAACGCCTAAAAATATACAAAAAGTATTAATAATCTACAAAGCAGGAACCGCAAAAATATGTTGATTATTTTTCAAGTACTCCAATTGCATTCTCGTCTCCAAATCTGCCAATTGAGCTGCCGACGTAGCCAACGAGAGCACATGGGTGGCAAAGTTCGCTCCACCGGACCTCTTCTCTCCGTAAATCACTTTCCCGTCGAACTCATCGATTGGCACCGAGAAATCACTGTCGACGGTGGAGATTGTGGCTCCGAGGTGCTCTTCGATCTCGCCGAGCATCTGGAAATTAGGAAAAAAAATTAAATTTTTTAATTAAAAATGAGCAATTTTATGTCTAAAATTACATTTTCAAAATCAAAAATCGAGCAAAAATGACCGACTTTCAGCCAAAAAACTATAATTTTCAAAATTTGTCGCTTCCAGACCCAAAAAACCCTTCAAATTTTCAAAATTATCAGTTCTAACCCTCACTATCACCTTTGCCTTTGAAAAATGCTTCAAAATGAGCCCAAACTCGACTAGGCTCCGCCCATTTCATACGGAATTCTCAAAAATGGGCGGAGCTTCAAAGTGGGCGGAGCCTAATTGATTTGAGGTTCATTTTATAGCATTTCCTGCGCTGTATTTAATTTCATCACGTATTAAGCTTCAAAACGAACCCAAACATGACTAGGCTCCGCCCATTTTGAGGGATTCCAAAAAGGGGCGGAGCTTAACCGATATTAGGTCCATTTTTAAGTATTTGCAGAGCCAAATTCGGTTCTGCTGTCAAATATGCTTTAAAATGAGCCTAAACATAGCTAGGCTCCGCCCATTTTATACAGAATTCTCAAAAATGGGCGGAGCTTCAAAATGGGCGGAGCCTAGCCGAATTTCCCGCAGCTAATTTCGAATTTGTTATCAAAAACGGTTTGAAATGAGCCCAAACACGACTAGGCTCTGCCCATTTTGAGGCCGCGCCCACCAAGTTTAAGAGAGAACTCAAAAAAAGGGGCGGAGCCTCCTCCAAAGTGGGCGGGGCCTAATCGATTTTGGGCTTCTTTAAACTCATTTTTCGCGCTGAATTTGATTTTTTCACGTTCCAAGATTCAAAATGAGCCCTATATTGCTCAGGCTCCGCCCACTTGAAAATTTCCAAGGCGCACGCGACGCACGACCGCGACGCGCCTGAAAACTCAAAGTGCGCGGAGCCTAGTCGAGTTTGGGCTCATTTTAAAGCATTTTTCGAGCTGAATCCATTGGCGTTATCAAAAATGCAAAAATTCGAAAATTTTCAGCAAAAAAACGGGATTTTCAGCAAGATTTCAGAATTTTCTCAAATTTCCAAAATTTCTCATTTTTAACCCAATTTTTCCGCACTTTTTTCTCATCGAACCAAATTGTGCATCCTCCGTTTGAGATATCCTTTGCATTGGTGCATCCGACACCTCTGGATCGACACTTATGGAACCATATCTTCTCCTCGTGGGCCGAGACTAGACTAATCGAAAGTCCCATGCGTTCGGCACGTCCGACACGTCCGATACGGTGCACGTACTGTGTCTTGTCATCCGGTAGTGTTACGTTGATTACTGTAATGAGCAATTTGAGCGGAAAATTTTTAAATTCCGAGAAAAATCGGTTGAAATTGATTAATTTTTAGTTAGTTAAAAAAAGTGGGCGGAGCTTCAGATTGTGGGCGGGGCCAGCTATAATTTTTTGCCTAAATTGTTATATTGGTTACTGTAGATAAGAAACATGAAAAAAGTCACAAAAAATCCGCTAAAAAGCGCTATTTTTAGCGATAGTGAGATTAGGCTCCGCCCACTTTCCCTAAAAGTGGGCGGAGCTTAAAATGTGATATTTTTAAGCGCTTTCAAAGGTCTTGTTAAATCATGAGCTTCAAAATGAGCCCAAACTCGACTAGGCTCCGCCCATTTTGAATTTCAAATTTCAAAGTGGGCGGAGCCTAGTCGATATGGGACTCATTTTGAAGCTCTCGACACGCTGATTTCATTGAGATCCCTTAGAAATTGAAATTTTTGTAGGTTAAAAAAGTTTTGGGCGATTTAAAGATTCCGAAAAACCGAAAAACCCTAAAAATCGATAATTTTCAGCCGATTTTCTTGAAATTTTCAGCGAAAACATACCAAATGGAACACCTTGAACATCCAGACCACGTGCCACCACATCAGTACAAACCAGGAATCTCATTTGTCCATTTTTGAAGCCATCGAGCGAATTTTGTCGCTCCTCAGCTGAGCGATCACCGTGAAGGCAGGCCGCGGTGAAATCTGGAATTTTAGGGCTATTTTGGGTGTAAAATATGCTGGAAATCGATATTTTCAGCCTAAAACGACCAAAAACGAAAAAAATCTGGCTAAAAATGGTGATTTTAGCCGATTTTGGATTAGGCTCCGCCCCCTTCCGAAAAGTGGGCGGAGCTTGAAATGTTTTAAAATAAAAATTTGTTCCGTGGATTACTGTAGTTAGGAGATGAAAAATCGCAAAAAATTCCCGGAAAAACCGCTTGAAAACAATGATTTTCAGCAATCTCAATTTAGGCTCCGCCCACTTTCCCTAAAGTGGGCGGAGCCTAAGTTTGAGCTCATTTTGAAGCATTTTCCCTGGCGAATTCGATTCTGCCAAATGCCAAAAAACGGACCTAAAATCGACTAGGCTTCGCCCATTTAAAGGGGAATCCTCTAGGATTCAAAAAAAGTGGGCGTGGCCTAAGAGTGGGCGGAGCCTACTAGTCGAGTTTTGGCTCGTTTTGAAGCATTCTTCATGTTAAATTCATCTGTGCCATCGAAAATGCTAAAAAACAAGCCTAAACTCGCCTAGGCTCCGCCCATTTAAAGATGAATCCTCTAGGATCCAAAAAAGTGGGCGTGGCTTCCTAAAAATGGGCGGAGCTCAGCCAAGCTTGGGCTCATTTCGAAGCATTTTTCATTTCAAAGTTTGTTGTGCTGAGAACGAACTCAAAATCTCGAAAACCACAGCTCCAGAGCCCTATTCCACTCCCCGGATCAAAGTGGGCGGAGCCTAGGTTAACATAGCTTAAATACGCTCATTTTCAGCCGATTTTTCTCGATTTTTTCGATAAAAACTCACTATTCCTTCTCAAATAGTGTTCCATCTGGTCACACTGCTGTTTGGTACGACAAAAGATGATCGCTTTGTCCATATTCAGCGCCCTGATCGCTTTGATCACATAGATTCCCTTGAGGACCTTCGTGCCCAGTGATACCGTATCCTTATCAGTGGTTCCTGGCCTAATCTGATCCTGATCATGGACATGATCATCCTCGAGTCCTATCGATTGATATTTCTCGCGGATCCATTGTTTGTCCTCGATGGAATCCACGTGGCACACGACATGGTGCACATCGGCCGACACACAGTCCTGTCCCTTTAAATCGATCCATTGGGGAAAGGACATGTGACGATCGGCGAAACGGGACACCTCGAAGTTGTGGAGGGTGGCTGAGCAAGCGATCACCTGCAAAAAATCAATAAAAAATGGCACAGAAATCGATAATTATAGGTAAAATTTAGGCTCCGCCCACTTTTAGGGGTCCGAAAATCGCTGAAATCGATTGAAAATTTGCTGAAATCGCTTAAAAATCAGCCAAAATAGCCTAAAAATCACTAAAATCGAGAGAAAAATAGACTCCGCCCACTTTTAGGGGTCCGAAAATCGCTAAAATATCCCATAAATCAGCTTAAATCGCCCAAAAATCGCTGAAATCCCAAAAAAAAACAGGCTCCGCCCGCTTTTAGGGGTCCCAATCGAAGATTTTTGACCTGAAAATCGCTTAAAAATCACCCAAAAATCGCTGAAATCCCAAAAAAAAAATGAGACTCCGCCCACTTTTAGGGGTCTCAAAATGGCAAAAAATCAGGCAATAATAAGGCTTTGCCCACTTTCAGGGGTCCTAATCGACAATTTTTGATTTGAAAATCGCTTAAAAATCAGCTCAAATCATCCAAAATCGACTATTTCTCACTAAAAGTGGGCGGAGCCTAAGTTCTAGTGGGCGGAGTCTGATTTCAAGTATCGAACTCGAATTTTCCATCAAAAACTACCCTCAAGCCCACTTTTCTACGTTTCTAACTCGCAATTTCGCGTTTTCGGGTTACTGTAGTGCCGATTCTGTGCAAACACCGAACCGAAACACCGAACCTTACGACAAAGTGCATAAATCGCTTGAAAATCGTGTTTCTAGGGGTAAAAATGGGCGGGAAATTCGAATTCTGTAGTAAAAATGTCTAAAAATGTCGTTTTTCAGCTTTTCAAGAAGCTCCGCCCACTTTTGGGGATATCAAAGTGGGCGTGGCCTAAAATGGGCGGAGCCTAGTCGATATGGGGCTCATTTTGAAGCGCAGAACATGACAAATACGGTGGTAATGTTGAAAATTCGGAAAAATTTGAAAAATGCGGAATTTTTGGGTCTCGACGCGAAAACTCGAATTTCGGGGTAAAATGGCCTAAAATGGCTCAAAATAGCTCATTTTTCGAGGATTTTCATGATTTTTAGGTCAATTTTTCTTGTTTTTCTTGAATTTTAAACCATTTTCAGCGGTTTTCCAGCATTTTCAGCCCCCTAAACCCTCTAAGTACCTGTCTTCTGGTCCCATCCCGTGTCACCAAAGGCAATGCCCGGAATATGGTATCAATTTGACGAGCCGCTCCATTCTTATCGGCCAAAAACTGATCAATTTCATCGATTACCACAAATTGCAGAGATACTGTAGCCAGCTTTCCCGTCTGAATCAGATCTACGATTCGTGAGGGGGTCCCGACGATGATATCACATCCAGACTCCAGAATTCGCAAAATTTGATTCATATTTTCACCGGCGGCTAGCGTGACGCATCTGAAATCGATTTTATGAGATTTTGCTGGAAATTCACAGTCAAAATGAGCTAAAAATCGGCTGAAATTCACTATTTTCGCTTCAAGACCCAGATTTTTCTGAAAATTTCAATTTTTGCCGGCTAGCATCGTTTTCAGCTCACTTAGCGCTTTGAAATGAGCCCTCTATTGCCCAGGCTCCGCCCACTTTGAGTTTTCAGGCGCGTCGCGGTCGTGCGTCGCGTGCCGAAGGGAAAAATCAAAATGGGCGGAGCCTAGGCAATATTGGGCTTATTTTGAAGCTCTTGGTGAGCCGAAAACTGTAAAATTGCGTAGAAAACCAAAAATGAGGCGAAAAAGTCCAAATTTTAGAAAAAAACCTGAAATTGCTCTTTTTTGGCTGATTTTCAGCCCATTTTTCTGGAAATGACTAGAATTTTCCCTTTTTTCATTGTCAGCATCGTTTCTAGCTGAGTAGGAGCTTTGAAATGAGCTCAAACACGCCTAGGCTCCGCCCACTTTGAGTTTTCAGACGCGTCGCGGTCGTGCGCCGCGTGTCTAGGCGAAATTTCAAAGTGGGCGGAGCCTAGGCAATATTGGGCTCATTTGGAAGCTCTCAATGAGCCGAGAACAATGAGAACAATTAGAAAGTCGAAAAAATCCGAGAAACATCTAAAAATTGCTTATTTTCAGCCGATTTTCAGCCAATTTTCCACAAATTTTTACAAAAGTTTACCGAATTTTAGGCTCCTGGAGCACCGAGGCGAACGTTTGAATATTCTGAAACGTCTGCTGAACGAGCTCTCTCGTCGGCTCCAGAATTACACATAGCGGCGTCGTGGAGTCCACTGATTGCTTCTCTTCTCGACTCCAGAACTTCAAATTCCCGACGGGTGCGGCGGCGACACCTACAGTATCAGGGCCAGGTGGGTACTGTAAATAATCGAATTTCAGGGGAAAAAAGGCGAAATTTGAAAAAAAAATTTTTTTTCGAAAAATTCGAATTTTCGATTTTCTCTCCGAGACCCAAAATGCCCAAAACTTTGTCAGAATTCCGATTTTTAGTGTCTTCCGTCGTTTTCAGCTCAATTTCAATTTCAAAATGAGCCCCATATTGCCTAGGCTTCGGCCACTTCGGTTTTTCGGACGCGTCGCGGTCGTGCGTCGCGTGCGCCCGGGAAACTTCAAAATGGGCGGAGCCTAGGCAAAATGGGGCTCATTTTAAAGCTGAGAATGAGCTAAAATAGATGGTGAGCTTAAAAATAAAAAATTTCTGCAAATTAAAAGGAAAGTTGCAAAAATTCAAATTTTCATTTTTTTGAAAATTTTCAAGTCCCAAAATTTCTAAAATTTGTCAGAATATCGATTTCTAGCATTTTCCATCGTTTTCAGCGCCTTCTCAGCTTCAAAATGAGCCCCGTATTTCCTAGGCTCCGCCCATTTTGAAATTTCCCCAAGACACGCGACGCATGACCGCGTCGCGCCGGAAAAGTGAAAATGGGCGGAGCCCAAGCAATATGAGGCTCATGTTGAAGATGGCAATAAGCTGAAAAAGATTAAATTTATGAAAATTGCAACATTTCAATGAAAAAAAAATTGGCTGAAAATCGCTGATTTCAGAACTTTTTCGCTACAAGACCCAAAATTTGTCAGAATTTCGATTTCTAGTGATTTCTATCGTTTTCAGCTTAGTGGCAGCTTCAAAATGAGCCCCATATTGCCTAGGCTCTGCTCATTTTCATTTTTACACGGTGCGTCGCGGTCGTGCGTCGCGTGTCACATGGAAATCCCAAAATGGACGGAGCCTAGGCAATATGGGGCTCATTTTATAGCTGGAAATGAGCTGCGGAAGATGGTGTGCTTAAAATTAAGCAATATCTCTGAATTGATGCCCAAAAGTTTGAAAAACCTCTCTTTCGGCCCATATTGACTCATTTCCCCATTTTTCCCGGATTTTTCTGGAATTTTCTGCAATTTCCTATAAAATTTTTACCTGAAAAGGGGCGGAGCCTCCTCCAAAGTTCACCGCCAGTCCCGAATTTTGACAAAGGACCGCCGGAAAAAGACACGTGGCGGGTGATTGGAATTTCTTATCAATGTGATAAGCCGTCGGGAAGTGTTGACCATTCTTGGACCACCAAATTTTCAGATTATCCAAATCCAGAAAGCATCCCAGCACGTCGTTGGTGGTGAATGAGGTACCGTAGTCGTCGAACTTCTTGCCGAAAGACTTTTTGCCCGTTCCACCGTACCCGAAACTCTCAAAATCGGTTCCTGGAAATGAGGAAATTGGCTGAAAACCGCTTAAAATCGCTTAAAACGGCTTTAAAAGGTTAAAAATCGATCTAAAATCACACTAAAATCGCTAAAATTCAAAAAAAATTCGGCTCCGCCCACTTTTAGGGGTCCCAAAATGAAAGAAAATCGCTCGAAAATCATCATTTCTATCTCAAAGTGGGCGGAGCCTAGTTTTAATCATCAAATTTAAACTTCCGATCAGAAACTACCCTCAAGCCCACTTTTCTACGTTTCTAACTCGCAATTTCGGGTTTTCGGGTTACTGTAGCGCCGGTTGTGTGCAAACACCGCACCGAAACACCGAACCTTACGACAAAATACACAAAACGCTTGAAAATCGTGTTTCTAGGGGTAAAAATAGGCGGGAAATTCGAAGTTTGTAGTTAAAATGCCTAAAAATGTCGTTTTTCAACTTTTCAAGAGGCTCCGCCCACTTTTGCGGATACCAAAGTGGGCGTGGCTTAGAAATGGGCGGAGCCTAGTCGAGTTTATGCTTATTTCAAAGCCAATGATACGCTGAAAACGATAAAAAACACAAAAATCTAAAATCTCGAGAAAAAACTTTAAAAACGCATTTTTCGAAAAATATTTCAATTTTCAATTTTTTCAAGATCCGAAATTTTCAAAATTCGCTGGAAATTCGATTTTTAGCATTCACCATTGTCCTCAGCTCATTTTTAGCTTTAAAATGAGCCCCATATTGTCTAGGCTCCGCCCACTTTGAAATTGCATTGTGACACGCGACGCACGACCGCGACGCTTCCGAAAGATCAAAGTGAGCGGAGCCTAGTCGAGATTGGGCTCATTTTGAAGCTCTCCACGAGCTGAGCAAGAAAAAACTAGCTAGAAATCCGGAATTTCAAGTTTGAAGAGGTTTTGGGCGGAAATTCAAAATATTGAATTTTCCAAAAATCGTTTTTGGCTCATTTTTGGTCAATTTTTTCGGTTTATAGCTCATTTTTCAGCATTTTCAGCGTATTTGCAGCTTATTTCTCACCAATTTTCAAACTTCCAGCCAGCGTTGCCCATCCAATTCGACACAGACCATCCCGGGTGATCGTAACCTCATAATAGTACTTTCCACCTCCGTATAACCCCACATTCGCCCTCGCCCCGTGCCATTCCTTGCCCAAACGACATTCACAATTCAATCCGGTCTTATCGATTTGGAGGGATCGATCTCGATCCTCCGAGTTCAGTTGGATTACTGTAGATTGCACAGGTTTAGTGGGCGGGGCTTCTGAAGTGCCACGACGACGTTCCCACACGATTTGGGCGATAGGGAGACAGAAGGCGCCAGTTTTACCGGATCCTGTTTCGGCGGCCTGGAGGAAATTTGAAACTTTTTGAAAACATTTTTTTTCAACTTTTGAAAATTTTGCAAAACCTAAAAATTCCAAAATTGCTCAGAATTTCGGATTACTGTATTTTCCATCGTTTCCAGCTTATTTTTAGCTTCAAAATAAGCCTAAACTCGACTAGGCTCCGCCCACTTTGATTTTTCAGGGGCGTCGCGGTGGTGCGTCGCGTGCGCCCGGGAAATCTCAAAGTGGGTGGAGCCTAGTCGAGTTTGGGCTCATTTTGAAGCTCTTAATAAGCTCAAGACAATGAAAACAACAAAACGTCAAAAATTTCAGCAAAAATGATCTGAAAACCGAAAAAATTGGGTGAAAATCACTTTTTCGCTTCAAGACGCAAATTTTTCGAGATTTTTGCACTTTTTACTGCCAGCATAGTTCTAAGCTCATTTTTAGCTTTAAAATGAGCTCCATATTGCCTAGGCTCCGCACACTTTGAAATTTCGGACGCGTCGCGGTCGTGCGTCGCGTGCGCCCGGGAAATCTCAAAAGTGGGCGGAGCCTAGTCGATATGGGGCTCATTTTAAAGCTAAAAATGAGCTGAAAATGTTGAGAAACAAGGAAAATTGAAATTCTGGCTAATTTTGGGTCTTAAAGCGAAAAAACTGAAAATTTTGAATTTTTCGAAAAAAAATTAGCCATTTTTAGATATTTAGAGCTCTATTATCAATTTTTAAAGGTATTTTCAAACTGAGCAATGCTTAAAAATTCGAAAAATTCGAATTTTTTCAAATTTAGTTATATTTCTTCATTTTTCGGTATTTTTTTCAAATTTTCCGCTCACAATCAACGCATCGGCACCGCCCAAAATCGCCGGAATCGCTTCAGACTGCACGGCAGTTGGTAATCTGGGAAAAATTCATTTTTTCCAAAAAATTCCAAATTTTCAAGTCTTACGTCCAATTCAGCGAGCTAATCGCCTCGGAAAGCTCGGGAATTATTCCAAATTCTTCAAACGCTGTCATTTTTTGCTGAAAATTGCAAAAAATTGCAGAAAAAACGGCTGGAAACGAGCGAAAATGGCTGAAATATTGCACAATTCCCCGAGTGAAAAAGCAAGCGCGCTCCACTGAACAGAGGGGGTAACAAGCGGGGGAATTTGAATTTGGGTTTTCGCGGAAAAGCGGTTGAATAGGGCTAAAGACATCGGAATTTAATGTAAAAAACAGGGAAAAAGCTAGAAAAACTAATTTTCCAATTTAAAGCTGAATTTTAAGGTAAAAATCTTTAGAAACCTGTAAAAAATCGGAAAAAATTGAATTTTTCTCTAAAAATTCAATTTTTCTCGAATTTTTCCGGTTTTTTTTCCAGAATGTCTAACTTTCCCTGTCTTTCTAAACGTTCTTCTTTCATTTTTTTCACTAAAACCCTTTTTTTAAGGCTTCCAGGCCTTGTTTACGCGTCCAACGTTGCCAAGTGAGCAAACGCGCCCCACCGCACACCCCCTTATTATCTCTACCCCTGTGTTTCGTAAGTGTGCGTATGTGTAGCCAACATTGATTTTTGATATAAACGCAGACGACAACGGATTTTTCTGGAACAAAAAATCTTGAATTTTCAGATTTTTGAATTTTTCTAAAATTCAAAAAATTTTAATTTTGAAAATCTAACTTTTTAAAGATTTCCTCATCTCAAGACTTGGTGTCCCAAGGCTACAATTCAATTAAACTGCAATTCGGGTCCCCGATATATAACGCTAAGTGAGTCATCCGGAAAAATCGAAAAACATTCTTGAAAATCATTTTTCATGGATTTTTATGAATTTGTTTACATCAAAACAGACCAAAAACTATAAAAATCGCGAGAAAACCATCCATTTTCATCTATTTCAATGTTTTTGGGTTACTGTAGTTTTTTGCCATTTTTCTGCATTCATAATGGTGGATTTTTGGCATTTTTTGTGGAAAAATTTTGAGAATCTTTTTTTGCTAATTTTACTGTTTTTAAGCTTAAAATTCGAAAAGAAAAAACCAAAAAAAAAACGGTTGAAAATCGCCAAAATTAGCTATTTTATTAAAATTTTTGAGGCATGCGCCTTTAAATTGAAAAAGATACTGTAGAAATTTATTTTTTTGCCAAAATATCGATTTTCGAGCGGAAAAAAGCCAGAATGTGCAATTTTTGACTGGAAATCGCGAGGAACAAGCTAAAAAACACCCAAAAATCGTCTAAAAACGCTAAAAATCACCCAAAAACACGTTATTTTGAGCATGCGCTTTTTAATTACAAAGTTACTGTAGAAAAGCAAATTTTACTGAATTTCAATGATTTTGAAGCTGAAAAAATAGAAAATAGTCATGTTTTGGCTGAAAATAACCAAAAACAAGCTAAAAACAACCTAAAAGTTGTCTAAAAACGCTAAAAAACCGCCCGAAAACGATTTTATATCATTTTACAAGAAATTTTCCAAGCTTGCGCCTTTAACTCTCAGGCTTACTGTAGAGAATAAATTCTTGCACCAGTTTTCCGCCGAAATATCGATTTTCGAGCGGAAAATCGAGAAAATAGAGGTTTTCGACGAAAAAAAATATCGGGGAAAAGCAAAAATGAGCTAAAAATCATGAAAAATCCATTAAAAACGCGTTTCGCTACTAAAAAAGCATGAAAATTCACTGAAAACCTAGAATATACAGGGAAAAAGCGAAAATGACGAAAAATAGGCTAGAAATTTCAAAAAAAAAAAAAAAATTAAAAACTGCTTTTTATCCTTAAAAGTGCATGAAAATCCGCTAAAAACCGAAAAAATACCTAAAAATCACAAAAAATCAATAAAAAAACGCTTTTTATTCTTGGAATTGCATGAAAACTCACCGAAAACCCCCCAAATAACCCTCTGTCTCACATGTCCGTTAACCCATTAATTCCAGAAGCTCACAACCCAAGAAACCCCAAATTTACAGCAGAATTGGGTGCTGTCTGTCTTCCGCAAAAAGTCAGTCGGGCGAGAAAACAAAACCGCCCGACGAGATAATGGCATTCCATGAGTATCCGGTGACTCAGGACTATCGAATCAGTCGGAGAGTGAGTTTTTTAAGTCGAAAACTACAAAAAGTACCGTAACTTGGTTCGTTTTGATGCTAAATCGACAAAAGTTACACAAATCAATTTGCTTTGTCAAGAGCTTCAAAATAAGCTCAAACTCGACTAAGCTACGCCCATTTCGATTTTTCATGCGCGTCGCGGTCGTGCGTCACGTGTGTAGGTGAAATTTTAAAATGGGCAGAGCCTAGTCGTGTTTGGGCTCATTTTGAAGCTCTTGACAAGACAAATTGAATGGTATCATTTAGCATCAAAACTAAAGTGACGGTGGTTTTTTCTCTGTTTTCGTGGTGGGACCCAAAAAATGAGACTTTACCAAATCTAGTCATTTTTATACTCATTTTGAAGGCAAAAACGAAAGAAATGGGTTGGTAGCATTTTTATCAACCTAGCTAACAAACTAGCCGAGTTACGGTAGTTTTTCGGTTTTCGTGTCGAATCCCAAAAATTTTTTGAAAAATTCCCAGAATTCTAATTGGTGTTTTTCATTTGTCTTGAGCTCTTGAGCTCCAACTTCAAAATAAGCCCAAATGACTAGGCTCAGTCCGCTTTGAAATTACCCATCGGCACGCGACGCACGACCGCGACGCGCTTTGAAAAACCAAAGTGTGCGGAACCTAGTCGTGTTTCGGCTCATTTTAAAGCTAAAAGCAAGCAAAATGGATTGGTGTATTTTTCAAAGTGTTTGCACCAAAACCAACCAAGTTACGGTACTTTCAAAATTTCAAAATTTCCTTTTTTGCAGGTCCTGGGCGTTGGAATCAACGGGAAAGTGGTGGAATGCGAGAATCGTGTGACTAGTGAGAAGTATGCTTTGAAAGTGTTAAGAGACACTGAGAAAGCAAGAAGAGAGGTGGAGTTACATGTAATGGCTTCGGGACATCCCCATATTGTCTCCATCCACGACGTCTATAAGAATTCCTATAATGGAGTGGATTGTCTTTTGGTTGTTATGGAGAACATGAAAGGCGGCGAGCTGTTTGCTAGAATCCAAGAAAGAGGACAGAAGGCGTTCACTGAGAGAGAAGCCGCTGGAATTGTCAATGAAATTTGCTCGGCTGTGGCTCATTTACACCGAATGAGCATTGCTCATCGGGATCTGAAACCCGAAAATTTGCTTTATTGGTAAGTACTGACGCTTTTTTGACGTTTTGAGCTTCAAAACGAACTCAAACACGACTAGTTTCCTCCCATTTTGAGGGATGTTCCGCGAACTACAGTAATCCTGGCGAAAAAGCACCGTAACTTGGTTCATTTTGATGCTAGTCCACTGAAACTAATACCATTTGATTTATCACGTTTTTAACTTTAAAATGAGCCTAAACACAATAAAGTTCGAAAAATTAAAGCTTATCAAAATTAGGGTCTCGACTGGAAAATGTGAATTTTAGGAAAAACTACCGTAACTTGGTTAGTTTTCAAATTATCTTGTTGAAAGTTTTATCATTCAATTTGTGGTGTCCTCAGCTTTAAAATGAGCCTAAACACGATTAGGCTCCGCCCACTTTGAAATATCATCTAACACGCGACGCACGACCGCGACGCACCTGAAAAATCAAGGTAGGCGGAGCCTAGTCGTGTTTGGGCTCATTTTGAAGCTAATGACATAACAAATTCAAATCTGTAATAAGTTTTGAGTTCCAATCAATATTGGCCGAGTTACGCCCATTTCCCTATAATTCCCATTTTCCAGGCGAGACCCAAAAATTCGAAAAACTCGAAAGTTTCAAGTTTGATCGTGTTTAGGCTCATTTTGAAGCTCTTCTCAAAACAAAACAAAAAATATATTTCTCATTGAGCTAGCTCAAAAACTGAGCCAGCTACGGTGTCAAGGATTACTGTAGTTTCTGGAACTTTCCTCAAAATGGGCGGAGCCTAGTCGTGTTTGGGCTCATTTTGAAGCTCAAAACCTCCTGAATTTGAATTTTCAATTTTCATCTCATAATTTTCAGCACCACATCCGGTACAGCGGCTTTGAAGTTGACGGATTTTGGTTTCGCGAAGAAAACCGATGAATCAGAGCCGCAAGGGCTAAAGACCGCATGTTTTACACCGTACTACTGTGCTCCAGAAGTCTTGGGCACCGAGAAATACGACAAATCGTGCGATTTATGGTCCATCGGAGTGATTATGTATATTTTGTGAGTTTTGGAAAAAAAATACATTTTTCTGGAATTCTATAATTTCAGACTCTGCGGCTATCCACCATTCTACTCTCAGCACGGACAACCAATGTCGCCAGGGATGAAAGCAAAAATCAAGTCAGGACAGTACACTTTTCCGAGTCCCGAATGGGATTGTGTCTCGGAAGCAGGTAAAAATCTTTGAATTTCTGATCTTTTTGGGTCCCACAACGACAGTTCTTGATTTTTATTGTTTTCATCGAATTTGGCTTGTAGAGAGCTTTAAAATGAGCTCAAACACGCCTAGGCTCCGTCCACTTCTATTTTTCAGACGCGTCGCGGTCGTGCGTCGCGTGTCTGGGTGAAAATTCAAAGTGGGCGGAGCCTAGGCAACATGGGGCTCATTTTTAGGCTCTTGAATAGCCAAATTGATTGAAAGCATTTTTACTGATCTGGCTTCAAAACTAAACAGGTTACGGTAGATTTTGTGTTTTTTCATGGTATGATCCAAAATAAATGGAATGGGCGTGGCTTGAATTAGGCGGATTTAAGCGGATTTAAGTTATTATTACAGTATTGAGAAAGCGAAGAGCGTCAAAATGAGCGCAAACACGACCAGGCTTGAAACCACTATGAAATTTCACCTAGACACGCGACGCACGACCGCGACGCGGCTGAAAAACCAAAGTGGGTGGAGCCTAGTCGTGTTTGGGCTCATTTTGAAGCTCTCGACAAATGAAATTGGTTGCTAATTATCCCATTTTAAAATTTGTGGAACTGGAAGAGTTATAGACAAAAATGTTCTTCAAAAAAACTTGTGTTCAACCAAAATTGATGGGGTTTTGGTTGATTTTTGCAATAATTCATTGTTTTTTTTTCCTGAAATTGCCCATTTTTCAGCCAAAGACTTGATCCGCAAATTGCTTCGCACCGAACCAACGGAACGTATCACAATTGAGCAAACCATGGAGCACAAATGGATTTCTCACTATAGAAAGGTCCCAGACACGCCCCTTTTCACATCTTCCAACCTTTGTGATCAAAAAGAGCAATGGACTGATATGCAGGACGAAATGGAAGCCACGTTGGCATCGATGAGAGTTGGACCGGAAAATATTCAGATAAAGAGTCTTGGCGATTCGAATAACAAGCTTCTAGCGAAACGACGAAAAGGCGGCGCTAGTCCGGTGAGTATTTTTGATTTGTGATGCTAGAAACTTTGTTATGAAGCTCCGCCCATTTTGGGATTATCCTTGAAACTTTAAAATTCATATAACTTTCTTTGTTTTTAAGTAAACTATTTGAAATTATAACTAATCAATTTATCTCGTTTTCAGCTTCAAAATGAGCCTAAACACGACTAGGTTCCGCGCACTTTGGTTTTTCAGGCGCGTCGCGGTCGTGCGTCGCGTGTCGCGGTCAAATTTCAAAGTGTGCCGAGCTTAGTCGTGTTTAAGCTCATTTTGAAGCTAACAACCTGAAAAATTCGGAACTGCAATAATTTTTGACTTTAAGTGAAAAATAACTGAGGTACGGTAATTTTGAGATTTTTCATTAATTATTTTCTGCGGTTTCTGGAGATTATTGGCTTGAAATTTTAAAAATATTATATTTTTATTATTTTCATCAGATTTAACCTGTGATGTGCTTCAAAATGAGCCCAAACACGACTAGGCTCCGCCCACTTTGAGATTTCGCTTAGACAGTTTGTCCTAAAAAAAAAATTATTTTCTAGTCGAGACCCAAATTTTGAAAACTTTGATTTTTCAACATTCATTGAATTTAGGCTCATTTTAAAGCTCTATTTAAGACAAATCGATTGGTGTAATTTTTATTGATCTATCTCTCAAACTAAGCGGGTTATGGTCGTTTTAATCCTAGGATTACTGTAGTTTCTGGAACATCCCTCAATATGGGCGGAGCCTAGTCGTGTTTGGGCTCATTTTGAAGCGCATGACAAGACAAGTTTGATAAACATGTTAAACAACTGATATCTTATCATGTTTATCAATAAAATCAACAGAAGGAATTTTTCCAGAGAGCCGACGAAGCAATGGACGACATCAAGGAAGAGAAGGATGAGGAGGTTGAGAAAATGTTGGAATAGATGGAACAATCTAAAAAACTAATAAATCAATAATTTCTTCTTTCAAAGGCTCCAAAAATGTGATTTCTTTGGAAAAATTTTTCTGAAAATTTTCAAAAAAATTTTTTTTTCCAAAATTCTCTGATATTATCCCCCAACTGGTCCAATGTGTTATTTTTTTGTAGTTTTTTTATCTTTTACATCACAAATTTTAAGATATTCCATATTTTTCGAGTATTACTGTACTTTTTTTTCTAGAATTTTCCTTTTTTTTCTCACACAAATCCATTTTGCTCCATTTTCCCCATATTTTTGTCTATTTTACTAACTTGTTTCAATTCCTCTGTTTTTTCATTTTTTCCGACATGTGATTAATTACAGACGCAATAAGTTTGTTTGATAAAAAAATTTGTTTTTGAAATTTTTTTCTTCTTTTCAGCGAAAATGAGATTTCAGCTTGAATTAGAATAGTAAAAAACATTTTCAATAAGTTTCCCTTACAGCGAGCTTCAAAATGAGCCCAAACATGACTAGGCTCCGCCCATTTTGAAACTTCGTCAAGACACGCGACGCACGACCGCGACGCGACCGAAGAATGAAAGTGGGCGGAGCCTAGTCGTGTTTAGGCTCATTTTGAAGCTCTTGACAAGCTGAATTCAAATCTGCAAAAATTGCTAAATTTGAGTGTAAAATAACCAAGTGACGGCGGGTTTGTTTTTCCAACACTTCTGAAAAACCAAGATTTTCAGATTCTCACACCTTCAAAAAACCTTTTTTTTTTGGATTTTTGAACTATTTGATTCTTTTGTTAATGCGTTTTTTTCTAGAAAAAAAGAATTTCACACTAAAAAAGGGGGAAGGGAATCCATTAAGAAAAAAAACAGAATATCAAATTTCAGAATTTTCGAAAAAAACATTTTTTAATGGAATTTTTTACTTTTTTAAAGGTTTTTCATTTTTATTTTAGGATATTTCGAATTTTCAAATTTTTACCCTTAAATTTCGAAAAAGAATTTGGAGTCAAAATATTTTTTGATAATGTATCAGTAAATTGATTATATCGTTTTTAGTTTTTAAGCTAGAATTTTGATTTTTTTATTAATCGAAAGAGCAGAAAATTTTGCGCTAGAATTGTTGATTTCACAAGTGACATTCTCAGAATTTTGCAAAAAATCGATATTTTAAAAAAATGTGAAAACTTTTTTTCCAGAATTTTTCTCCATAAGAAAGCAGGACAAAAAAAACCACAATACATAATAAATCACTCTTTCGTTTTTTTTTTTGCTCTCCAGAAGGTGAAGAGAGCAGGTGGTTCGCTTTCTCTCTTTCTCTGACTCTCTCCTCTCCCCCATTCAGGCTCCGCCCCCTTTTCCCCCGCTCTTTCTCTCTTTTCTTCTAGCAGAGAGAGCTCACGGACACAATATATGCCTCCAGATAAGTCCCCAGTGATTTCGAGCTACGCACTTTTTGACCCCTTTTCCCATCTGCTAAAAACAAGAAAAACACTTTTTGTTTAGTAAGAAGGAAAAGCCAACTATATACTATCTCTTTCTCTCTCTCTCTCTCTCTCTCTCTCTCTCTCTCTCTCTCTCTCTCTCTCTCTTTCTCTATTTCTCTCTTGTTCTGTCTCTATTTTAGGATAAATAGGATATTTGTGAGAAAAGAAATGTCACCTCTTCTTCTCTCTTCTTACGTTCTTCTCACTTTTTCAAGATCAAATGTTTTCCTCTTTCTGAAATTGTCTATGACTTTTCTAGTTTTATAGCTAGCTTTGAGATGTTAACATCAATCGAAAGAACGGAAAAATCTGAACTAAAATATTACAATTTGTCTGAGAATCTATAAAAACTGAGTTTTAAAAAACCGATTTTCGAAGAACTTCCAATTTTTCAATTTTTTCAGAATTATTTGCAAAAAATTAGGCATAACTCTGTCACCTTTTTAAGTTAAAGTTTTGATTTTTATACCAATCGAAAAAACAGAAAATTGTGAACTAGATAGTAGTAATTTACTCGAAAAATGCTCAAAACTTGTGGAAAAAATTAGGAATTTACAAAAAAAGAATTGACCTAGTTTTGGGTTTCTAGGCCACCAAACTAAAATAGACATAACTCGCTTCAAAATCAATGTTTTTTAAATTTAAAAACTGATTTGAGACTATCGAAACTTTGCTCTTTAGAATTATATACACCATGACCTAGATTCCCAAAATTTGGATTTCTAGGCCACCACTTCAAAATTACCTAGAACTCCGAAATTGGGGAAAACTAGGTCATAACTGATATTGTTCGATAACTCTTTTTTGAAACGTTTGAAAACAATCTTTGAACTCGAAAAATATCAACTTTGAAACGAGTTACCATAGTTTGAATGTTGATGGCCTAGAAAACCAACTTTCTGAAAAGTTAGGACATGGTGTACATGGTTAGAAAACCGATGTTTAGAGAATTCCAAATCAATTTTCAGATTCAAAAAAACTTGATTTTGAAGCGAGTTATGGCCATTTTAGTGTTGTGGCCTAGAAAAGCAAAACTCGCTTCAAAATCAATTTTTTTTCAAAATCTAAAAACATATTTAGAACCCTCATAGCATTCTTTTTGAAGCCGCGCACACCATGGCCTAGATTTTCAAAATTTGGGTTTCTAGGCCACCAAACTAAAATGGGTATAACTCGCTTCGAAATCAATATTTTTGAAGTATAAAAACTGTTCTGAATCACAACATTGTTAGTTTTCTTAAAAAAGTATAGAAACACATTTTCTGCTGTCCGGATTCACCAATTTGTTTGAAAGTGATGATGTTAGAAATAGTTGAGATCTTTTTTTAGTCAAAAAAAAAAAGAAAAAAGGAAATTTTTCCCAAAAAGTGCAAAATTGCACCTGCCAATTTGGTGGTGGCCGATTCTGATGTAGATATGATATGAATGAGAAGATTCAGAATATCACCTGCTCTTTTTTATGCTTTTTAAAACTTTTTTGAAAGTAAAATTTTTGGAAAAATTGCAAAAAAAAATATCTAAAAATTCAAATCCTCCAGTTTCTCCTTTTTCTGACTTTTGACTTTTGGCCTCTTCTTTTCCGAGAAACTTGAAAATTAGTTATTTTCCCCATCCTTGAAAGTTTTAAGAACAAGGTCCGTCCCACGTGATTCTCTTCAAATTCTTTGAAAACACTGAGGAAGTAAAATTATGGGTTAACAACAACAACAACTATTTTTGGGCCAAAAATTTTTTTTCAAAATCCATTTTTACTACATTTCCTATTCACTTTCATAATTTTAAAGTTTAAAATTCAAATTCCTCATCAAATTCTGCCCTAGAACGCCTTTCTCTGCGTTTCTAACTCATTTATTTGAACTTTGCTGAGATTTGTGCAAACACCAAATCCTACGACAAAGCGCGGAAATGCGTTTTCTGGGGTAGAAAACCGCGGGAAACTCGATTTTTGAGTATAAGATTAGCTAGAACATTGATTTGAAGGAGAAAAATGGAATTAACCGTAAACACTCTAATAGAACACCACCCGGACCGTATAATTTGAGCCTATGTATCTAATTTTCTGGGAGAGATATCAAAAAGTGGTCAACTGATAAAATGTGGCTGATATCATGATAAACATTTTATCAGTTGACAACTTTTTGATATCTTTTAAAAGAAGTGAGATATTTAGGCCGTTCCGCGTGGGATTCTCTTAGAGTGTTTACGGAAAGTTTTTTGAGAAAAAAATTTCAGAAAATTTTTTTCTAGTTTTTACACTTCCCCATACGTTTTTTTTTTGATTTTTACACATTCTAATCCTTGTTTTAGATCTTCTTCCCTGCTCTTTCCCCAGCTTTATCTTCCTCCAAAAATCTGAAAATCTCTTTTTTTGTCGTTCTACGTCACCAAATCCCTTTTTTGATATATCCATACATTTTTTGTACGTATTTATATGAATACGAAAATCCGCCGGATTTGGATTAAGCCAGAAAAATTGTTTTTGGAGATTTTGAGCCATAAAATATTTTTTCCGGAAATAATAATTTTTTGAACATCAAATATTAATTTTTCTATCAATTTTTTTAGCTTTTTGATGACTCAATTTGTTCCCTTTTTCTTGAATTATTATAACGTAAACTCTTTAATAGAACGCCACCCGGACCGTTTACTTTGATCCTATATATCTCACTTGTTTTGAGAGATATCAAAAAGTTGTTAACTGATAAAATGTTTACCATGATATCAGCAACATTTTATCAGTTAACCACTTTTTGATATCTCTTACAGAAAATTAGATAAATGAGCTCAAAGTACATGATAGGATGAACCTATCACAGGAGACTTTATAATAGAACGAGCTCCTAGTTTTGAGCTTGTATATCTCAGTTTTTTTGAAAGATATCAAAAAGTTGTCAACTGATAAAATGCTTATCATAATATCAGCTACATTTTATTAGTTGATCATTTTTTGATATCTCTCAAAGGAACTGAGATACATGCGCTCAAATTTGATGTGAGTGTTTACGGTAATTGTTGCGCTCGAAAAACAATTTTTCAAAAAAATATTTCAAACATTTCTAATTTTCAGCATATCAAGCCTCCTCCTTCACTAATTAGTCAATTATACTAATTACACTAATTATGCGTCTATTATCATTTCTCTCAATTGGCCTGGTTTTCAGCTGTTGGGGAGCTCAGGAATCTGAAGGTGAGCAATTTTTTTTTGGAATTTTTCAAATTTTTTTTTGTGATATTTGAATTATGTAGCTTACTGTAGGTTTCAAATTTGAAAATAAACTCAGTGATTTTTGGTTCAAAAATCATTCTTTATGTGTTTTTACCCAAAAAAGAAATGGCCTTAAAAATTTTTTTTGAGGCGAAATTTGTTTTTTCCGGTTTTTCATATTTTTTTTGGGTTTTTCCTTCCGGTTTGGATGAATTGGTGCTTTTTAAAAAAAGATTTTTGAAGGAAAATAAAGATGAAAACTCTAAAAAAGGTCCCGAAAGTGGAAATCTGAAAATTTTCAAAAATTGAAAAAACTAAATTTTTTTGAAAAACTTAACAAAATTATATTCGTTTTGTTGCAAATTTTTGATCTGGTGGATTCTAAAATTTCCAGTCAGATTGGCTCGTTTTCAGCCAAATTACAGACATTCAAAGTTGAGAAAAATTCTGTAAAATACCGTAAACACTCTAATAGAACACCCGGACCGTCCACTCTGAGCCTATATATCTCATTTCTTTTGAAAGATATCAAAAAGTTGTCAACTGATAAAATGCTTATCATAATATTAGCTACATTTTATCAGTTTATAATTTGCTGATACCTTTTACAGGAATCGAAATATATAGGCTCAAAGTAGACGGTTTCAGGAGGGGCATTCTGTTGGAGGGCCCCCATACTGTTAACTTTGAGCCTATATATCTCACTTCTCTTGAAAGATATCAAAAAGTAATCAATTAATAAAATGTTTATCAGGGTATCAGCTACATTTTATCAGTTTACCACTTCTTGATATCTCTCACCGAAAATGAGATACATGGGCTCAAAGTTGACGATTCGAGTGGCTTTCTATCAGAGTGTTTACGGTATGCCCATTTTTCAGAAAATTTTTTCAACTTTCATTTGTCTTGAATTATGTGAGAAAGTGTAGAAAAAAGTGCTTTTTTTTCTTGTTAATTTTCAACTTTTTCCCACAAAGTATCTTCTTTTTTCCTCTTCTTTTCTTCATAGTGAATAATTCATGAGCAATGTGAAAAGCGTGTGTTAAAGGGACATAAAAAACGAGAGTTTAATTAAATTTACTACTTTCTCTAATTCTCTCTCTCTCTCTCTCTACACATAAAATTCATTTTATTTAGTTCCTGAAAAAAGAGAGAAATTTGAAAAAAAAGGGAACAATTTGTTCTTTTTTTGCAAATTTGGCAGTCTCCAGAATTTGTCTCCAGAAGACTTTAAAATCAATTTTTCGAAAAACCAAAAGTTCGGGCATCAGCTAAGACACATTTCTGGTCCATATGTCCAGGTTTCAGCTTAATCGGTTAACTTTGAATGGGTGAACGGGCACGCGACATACATCCGGACTTTCAGAATTTGAGGAATCAATCATCTTCCCAATGTTTTTTTTTTCTGAAAAAAAAACAAAAAGAGTCGAAAATTCCTCTCGTCAGCTGTTAGTCACTTCACCAATCCTCACCAATCATCATCATTTTTATCTTTTTCTTCCGAAATTCTTTTTTTTTTCACAAAAAGTGTAAAAAACGGAAAGAAAAATAGAGAAAAATGAGAAAAGATGAACGGAAATAATGGGAATTTTTGATTTTAAAAATGAAAATAGATTTTGAAGGGATTTTTTTGGAAAACTGAAATTTGGAGAAAAGCATACTTGTAACGGGCCAAGCCGGGCTTTTTCCCGAATTTTGGAGGCCCGGCCCGGCACGGCGGGCCTGTCATTCCACAATTTTTGAAAATTTCAAAAAACACATAAGGGGGGACCCTTATGTGATTTTTTTCTATCAAAAATTTTTTTCGAGTTTTTTTTTCATATTTTTTGAGACAAACAATCCAAAAAACACAAAAAAAATATAGAAAATTGTATTGAGCTCAAAATTCGGTTCAAAATGACAAAATTTTTGCTACCTGGCCTTCCGGGCCGGACCCGGGCCATGAAAATTTCCTCAGGCCCGGCCCGGAATTTTACAAGTATGGAGAAAAGGGATTTTTGGGGATTTTTTTTTGAAAAAATTAGAAAATTCGAATAAAAAAATAAGAGAAATTCAGAAATTCCAGAAATTCAGAAATTCGGAAATTCAGAGTATCAGAATATCAGAAATTCAGAAATTCAGAAATTCAGAAATTCGGAAATTCAGAAATTCAGAAATTCAGAAATTCAGAAATTCAGAAATTCAGAAATCCAGAAATTCAGAAATTCAGAATTCTCAGAAATTCAGAAATTCAGAATTTTCAGAAATTCAGAAATTCCAGAATATTCAGAAATTCTTTTTTTCCCGAAAAATTTTTAAAAATCCAATTTTCCAAAATCCAATTTTTCCCAAATTTTCTCGAACTTTTTCCTCTTTTTTTTCACCAAAATTGAATTTTTCTAACATTCAAAAAAATTGAATTCCTTGCACTTGACTTCATTCTGATTTGATTTTTCCAAAAACACAAAAAATAGAATCTTCTCGGGAAATCTAATTTTTCTGCCTCATGAGATTTGTATTATGATCTGAAGAGAGAGTTCTTATCAATGGGGACAACAGACTTTGGGATTCTGAAAATTTTTGGAATCAAAATTTAAAAGAAATTGGAATTTTTTTTCAAAAGTTTATAACTTTTGAACTGATACATCGATTTTCATGGTTTTTATACCAATAGATAGGAAATTGTTTTCTAAACTTTAAAATTTTATAAAGTACATCAATTTATTCATCATTTATAATCAAAAATATAAGACATGATAACAAAAAGCAGTTTCCCCCCATAAATTCCATAAGACATCGTCCAATTTTCAGGATTTTTAAACTATTTGATAGCAAACTTTTTACTTATCAATCTGAAATTGGAAACATCTTGAAATTTCCTGATTTCCAGGATTCATCCCAAAAAAAGTGATCAAGAAACCACCGGCTATCGATGATTCGGCATTTCATAAGCGACGAGCGTTGGATTCCGAGGATGGGGGACAGGTGATTGCAAACCCGGATGCTGATGGAGATCCACATGGAAGGTATGAAGAACTTTTCAAGAGCTACATTTTCCAATTTGAATTTTTGGAAAATGTCGATTTTGAGGAAAGTTATGGTTCAAAATGTGTTAGGGGGGGGGGGTTCTTATTATGTAGGCTTTACGAAAACTGTTGTAACTTTCTTCAAAATCAATATTTCTGAATGAACTAGTTTGCAAGATGTAGGATTTGAAACCAGCTATACAGTCATATATAATCCTTAGCACTTTATCTTCAGACTTGCCGCCTGGATCCGTTCCCACGCTAGACATCACATCCCTCTGAAACATCCTCATACCAGAATCGACGTTTTTATATCAGCTGGATTATATCAAATTGTTGATTTGGTAAGTCTTACTTTTTTGTGGTTTAGTTAAATAAGAAATTTATTAATTTGAAACCAAAATGTTCCAAAATGCCTTTATAGGGTCTCCCCCTTTTAGTTGCAGCCTACCCTTAATAAAAGGTGTCCTTACTTATATTTGATTTATCTCGGTTACTGTAGGAGATATCAAAAAGTTGTTAACTGCTCAAATGTTGCTGATAAAACGATAAACATTTCATCAGTTGATTACTTTTTGATATCTTTTACAGTAACTAAGATAATCAAGCTGAAAATGCACGTATAGGGTGGGCTTCTATCCGTAGTGGAACGAGATGTTCATTTTTATTCAATTTTCTCGGTTACTGTAAGAGATATCAAAAAGCTGTCAACTGTTAGATTGTTGCTGGTATTATAATAAACATTTCATCAGTTGATTACTTTTTGATATCTTTTACAAGAACTGAGATATACGGGCTAAAAGTTACAGAAGAGCCGTTTTCGACCTGTTTCTGATCTTTTTCTCATATTTCTTTGAGAATTTCTTATCAGCTCTGTTTCTTATCAGTTTCACAGATATTTTTAAAATTTTGAGTCTCTAAAGTTGTTAACTGATAAAATATTTATCATAATATTAGCAAACATTTATCAGTTGATTACTTTTTGATATCTTTTACAGTAACCAAGATAATTAAACTCAAAGTTAAAGTTAGTTTGATTAGTTTAGAGCCATTTTTGGCCCGTTCTTGATCCGTTCCTCATCATTTTTGAGTTTTTCTTATCACTCTTATTTGTCTATCAATTATATATACATATATAATTTTTTGTGATTTTGAAACTCTAAAACCCCAAAAAAAGGAGCTCATAAAACTAAGTGGTTTGGGGGAAGTGTGTGTGACAAGACACACAAAAAGAGATAAAAGAACACTGAAAAATGGTCCCAGGGGACCAGAAATCTTTTTTTTTTTGAGGCTCGAGAGCTTGAAAAGGGTCACAACACATACAACTATATGATTTGGGTTAAAGGACTGGAATAAAAAAAAACTTTTGAAAAAATTTTTTTTTGAAAATTTTCAAAATCTCATAACTGGACTTAAAATGACTCTAATCAACTGGAATTTTCAGATTTTTCATATTTTTCAAATTTCTAACAATTTAAAAACAATCTAGAACAGTTTTCTAGCTGAACAACTGGATTTTATAATTTTCAAAAGATGAAAAACTAAAATTCCCTTTAAATCCCTTAAAATCCCTTTAACTTGGCTTAAAATCACTTATTTTTCCCCAATTTTATGTCAACCGTAACCCAATTTTTTCGCAGGATCAACGAAACAACCTGGCTACCGTATCCGCGTATTTCGACGTTCACTGGCAGGACGATTTCATAAAATGGAAGCCAGAGATTTTCGGAGGAATCGAGAGAATATTTGTGCCAATTAAATGGATATGGAAGCCCGAATTCTACATGTATCACTCGGTATACGGTAGAGTTCCTGACTACGCCCCAGACGCCTCCGCTGAGATTCATTATAATGGTAAATTTGAATTCACAAATTCTGAAATTCTAAAATTCTGAAAATTTGTAGGTCGAGTCCGAATGTTCGTATCGATTGCATCAAAAAGTTTCTGCCCGATCAACTTCAAACGATTCCCATTCGATTCCCAAACTTGCTCGTTTTCGGTGAGTTTTTGGAATTTTTTAAAAAATATCAATATTCTCTTAAACATGCAGAGTTACGGTATTTAAAACACTCCCATGATATTCTTCACGTTTTCAGCTTCAAAATGAGCCCAAACACGACTAGGCTCCGCCCACTTTCATTCTTCGGTCGCGTCGCGTGTCTTGACGAAGTTTCAAAATGGGCGGAGCCTAGTCATGTTTGGGCTTATTTTAAAGCTAATTTCACACTAAATTCAAATTCGGTACGTTCTAAACTTCAAAATGAGCTCGAACTCGGCGACTTTTGGAAAAACATTTTTGGGTCCTCACTGGAAAACAGAACCACTACCGTAACTAGGTCAATTTTCGAGCTAGATTGATAGAAACAAAATAAATAAATTTCTCTCGGCTTGAGCTTCAAAATAAGCCTAAACACGACTAGGCTCCGCCCACTTTGAAATTTCACCTAGACACGCGACGCACGACCGCGACGCATCTGTAAAATGAAAGTGGGCGGAGCCTAGTCGTGTTTGGGCTCATTTTGAAGCTAAGAACGTGACGAATTCAAATTCAGAGCTAAAAATGGATTATAACGAATATGAAGTGTCTAAAAACGTTTTTTGGTTTTTTGAAAAAATATTTTCGCACTAAATTTTCAAATATTTATAAAAACTGACAGAACTTGACTGACTGACATAAGACATATAAATAAAAAAATGAAAAACCGATCAAAAAATAGTTGCATAAATAATTTCTAGGTCAAAAAATGTGAGGGAGAGAGTATGGAAAAAAGAGAGACGCAGAGAAAATAGGAGAGAAAACGAGTCGTTGAAGAATAGGAGACAAGTGGCGGAAAGTGTTGGGTCACATTTAGGCAGCGGCTCTGAAAAATGAAAAAAAAATTTGGTAAAAAAGGGACCAAAACTTGAAAATTTTGGGAAAAAAATTTTTTTCAGAATTTTTTTTGTTTCACGACCTAGAAATCCAAAACTAGGCCATTATGGTCCACATGCTAACAAAAGTCGAATTTGAATTGAAAAGAGCTTCAAAATGAGTATAAACATGACTATATTTTTTGAAAAAAATCAGAAAATTAAAATTTTTGGGTCTCACCACGAAAATACTAAAACTACCGTATCTCGGTTAGTTTTCGTGCTAGAAAGGCAAATCTGTATCAATTGATTTGAAATTTCATTACCTTCAAAATGAAAATAACCATGACTATATTTGAAAAAATCAGAAATTTCGAGAATTTTGGGTCCCACCACGAAAATGGTAAAACTACCGTAACTTAGTTAGTTTTGGTGCTAGGACGAGCAATCTAGTAACAATCGATTTGAAATTTTATGGGCTTCAAAATGAGCCTAAATATGGCATGTTTAGAACATTTTTCAAACTTTCCAATTTTTATGTCCCAACAATAATTCTGGATTTTTAGTAAAACTACCGTAACTCTGTTAGTTTTTATGCTATATTGATGAGACCAGTACCAATCAATTTCAAATTTTATCAGCTTCAAAATGAGTATAAACAGGACTTGGCTCCGCCCACTTTGAGTTTTCCCTTTGGAACGCGACGCACGACCGCGACGCGCCTGAAAAATGAAAGTGTCCTGATTCTAGTCGTGTTTAAACTCATTTTAAAGCGCATGACTTGCCAAATTCAAAAATATTGATTTCTCTGAGCTTGCTGACCTCTGTTTGGATTTCTAGGTCAAAAACTGCCTAAAACACCAAAAAACTTACATCAGCCTCAAAAGAGTCAAATCCAATTAAGACGGAAGTCGAAAAGCACAATGTACTATCGCACTTTTGCCACGTTGTCCCATTTTTGTTGCAAAAATACATCTTCGGATTCAGCCCACATAAAAATGGGACCGCATCGATTTGATGCTGGGGATAACGGTCTTCCAGACGGAACTTCTGTTCGGTTTCGTTGCAAAATGGTTCGATTTTGACAAGTAGATCACTTTGAGGATAATTTTTAGATCTGGAGATCAGCAGGAATGGTGGCTCGGGTTTCTAAAATTTTTTTTAATTTTCAAAAAAAATTTTTTGGAACACATTTTCTTTTTGGTTTTTCTTGAAAACCTGCAGATCTAGACACGCGTCGCGGTCGTGCGTCGCGTGTCACATGGAAATTTCAAAGTGGCCAGGGCCTAGTCGTGCTTAGGCTCATTTAAAAGCTTGAAACGTGCACAACTTGGCGTGAAAAATGCCTCATAGTAAGCCCAAACTCAACTTGGCTCCGCCCACTTCCATGTTTACGCTCCGCCCACTTTTAGGGGTCCCCAAGTGCTTGAAATAATCACAGCCTAGTCGTGTTTAGGCTCGTTTTAAAGCATTTTTCAAGACAAATCCAATCATTTAGTTCAAAATCGACTTACCAGTACGGTATCCGGTTTATCGTGCTTATAATCAAAACTAGTGGGAATCACAGAAACATCCACCAGTGGGTGCGACGGTTTTGTGGAATTCACAGCTGGTGATTCGACGAGAAAATGTGCTTTCGAAGTGTAATGAAACGGTTTTGTCTTGACATAATTGTAAATTACGGCATAAATTGCGTCGTCTTCCACTGGCACCACAAATCGACCATTCGAGGAGGCGGTGTCAAAGGTTTTTCTGGAATTTTTTGAGCTTAGGAGGGGTCTGAGCTAGTTGAAAACACAAAATTTGGATTTCTCTTCTCAAGAGCTTCAAAATGAGCCGAAACTCGACTTGGTTCCGTTCATTTTGATTTTGCGGCGCGTCGCGGTCGTGCGTCGCGTGTCTGGGTGAAATTTCAAAGTGGGCGGAGCCTAGGCAACATGGGGCTCATTTTAAAGCTCTTGACTAGTCAAATTGATTGAAAGCATTTTTACTGATCTGGCTTCAAAACTAACTAGGTTACGGTAGATTTTGATTTTGCGGCGCGTCGCGGCTGTGCGTCGCGTGTCAGGGGAAATTTCAAAATGAGCGGAGCCTAGTCGAGTTCGAGCTCATCTTTGAGCATTTTTCGCGTAGAAATCAAATCTGGCAAAACTGAAGCTTCAAAATAAGTCAAAACACCACTAGGCTCCGCCCCTTTTAAGGATTCAGGGACCCCTAAATGTGGGCGGAGCCTAATTCTCGAAGTGGGCGGAGCCTAGTCGTGTTTGGGCGCGTTTTGAAGCACAAAAACAGAAAATTTCAAATTCAGTGTTTCGAAAGCTTCAAAATAAGCATGAATATGACTAGATTTGAAAAATTCGAAAACTTTCCAGTTCCACAATTTTTTAAGATTTTCAGTAAAACTACTGTAACTTGGTTGATTTTGTTGCAAATTCAAAAAATTCATAAAAATTCCTGATTTGTCTTGTTGTGAGCTTTAAAATGAGCCCAAACACGACTAGGCTCCGCCCACTTGGACTTTCTCCGTCTGACACGCGACGCACCTGAAAATTCAAAGTGGACGGAGCCTAGTCGTGTTTAGGCTCATTTTGAAGCGCGTGACTTGCCAAAGTCAAACCTTTCAAAATTTCTGAGTTTGCTGGCCTAGGTTTGGATTTCTAGGCCGTCAAAACTCTTCTAAACTGTTTCTAACATATTTTGGCTCATTTAAGCTTGTTTTTGCTCATTTTTCTTGGTTTTTCGGTTAAAGCGTCTCAAAATATCAAAATTTTAAACCATATGCACTGGAAAAACTTACTTTATGGGCTCCTCCGTCTCGTTTCCACCCAATTTTTGTAGAATCAAAGTGACAATTCCGTATTCGGACTCTTGGACCTCGGTCTCGACGACCAGTTCATTTTCAGACAAATTATTCTCGATTACAGACACTTTTTTGACATTTCTCAAAAATGTGGTGCTTGTGGTCCCGGAAATTTCTTTACATTCCGATCCTAGATGCTTTGTGAAATCTCCGAATCCAGAGGAAAGGACCAAATCTGTTGTCCAGCAAATTCTGGAAAACTGAGCAATTTTTAAGAGCTGAAAGTTATTTTTTCAGATTTTTCAAAAAAATTTTGATCTAGAAAAGTGAAAAAAAAAATCAAAAAACTGAAAAAAAATGTTTGTCAGAAAATTTTTATTTTGCTGAAATTAAAATTTGACCACAACTCACTTATGACACTTTAATGGTGTAATATGAGCTTTTATTTGATGTTTAGCTGTGTCCATCTCCTCGATATCATATTTTTGGTCCATCTGAAAAATTCGAAAAAAGTTGGAAATTTTTGCCCCAAAATGTTTTTTTTTTTCGATTTTTGGAAAAACTACCGTAATTCGACCAGTTTTGATGCAAACCAGTTCGAACAAGCAGGAATCGATTTGTTTGAGCAATGGGCTTCAAAATGAGCCTAAACACGACTAGGCTCCACTTTCATTTTCCAGGCGCGTCGCGGTCGCGCGACGCGTGTCTAGGTGAAATTCAAAGTGGGCGGAGCCTAGTCGAGTTTGGGCTCATTTCGAAGCAGACAACATGACAACTTTGCATTTTGCGCGTTTTTTAAAATTGGGCCATCTGAAAAGTTCAAAAAAGTTGAAAAATTGAAAATACTTTTTGGCCTTTTCCAAAACTACCGTAACTTGATAAGTTTCAGTTCGAATCAGTTTAAACAGACACTTACCGAATTGTCTTGTCATGAGCTTCAAAATGAGCCCAAACACGAAAAAAAACCGCCCATTTTGAGTTTCACCATCTGACACGCNACGCACGNCCGCGACGCCCCCGGAAAATGAAAGTGGGCGGAGCCTAGGCAATATGGGGCTCATTTTGAAGCAGACAGCTTGGCAAGTTTGATGATCTTATTGTTTCTGAATTTGTTGGCCTAGTTTTGGATTTCTAGGCCAGAAAAGACTAAATTTTTGGGAACCAACCGTTTCCGGTGTATTTTGGCTCATTTTAGCTCATTTCTCCACATTTTTTGAATTTTTCAAGTACCCGCTTTTCACAGATTTGATTCCCTACCGTAATCTCTAAAGTAACCGAGTCCTCATCTCCTTTTAGTTTAATTTCCTCTTTAGTCTCCGAATTATCACAGATCACACGAAGTTTTACGACTCCAGTGGTCAAATTGGTCCGTTTTTCTTGCTCCGCTTCTTTCCAGGCTACGGTAACATATAAAGATTCAAAATTTTCAACTCCATCCAAACTTCTGTGCATTTTCACGTCGATTGCGTTGTGCTCACTGCCTTTGTGAGTGTTATGCGTCTCCAATGGGGTTTTAGGCACATTTCCGGGGTTTCCGGGCATTTTTGGATGTTCCGGACCCAAAAAATGGGTTTCCGAGGGTTGATTTAGTCCAGAAACCCCTGAATTTGGTGCAATTTGCCCAAAATTGGGGCTAAACGTGGTCCAAACTGGGGATGTTGGGTATGGAGCATTCTGTACCCCCAGCGAAGGTGGAATTCCCATCAAAGCCACGCCCAAATTAGGCTCCGCCCCTCTTGGATGAGTTTTGATCAATCTCTCATCCTCATGGATTACTGTATGTCCATTTATGAGATTCTCACTTCGAAATCTAACGCCATACCAGGTATCCGGCCGGAGAAATGGGATTGTGTAGCGGCCTGAAATTGAATATTCAGGCTTTTAGGCTTGTTTTAGGTTTGAAAAAGACCTCTTGTTATTGTGAGCCATAATCCGCTTAAGTCCACTGGATTCACTTTTTTATTCGCCTCAATATCCACCAGTTCAATATGGATTTTGAGATGTTCCACGGGACCTGAAATGCTAATCTTGAATTTTTTGAATTATTCAAATTTCACGCGTTGGGAGCTTCAAAATGAGCCCAAACACAACTGAGCTCCGCCCACTTTGAGTTTCACCCTCTGACACGCGACGCACGACCGCGACGCGTCTAAAAAATCAAAGTGGGCGCAGCCTAGTCAAGATTATACTTATTTTGAAGCTCTTAACATTTTGAATCGAAAAATGTTGTTTTCATTCTTTTAGCGTCAAAACTGATCAAGTTACGGTAATTTTACCAAATTTCGTGGTGGGACCCAAAATCCGAAAAATCCCATTTTTGAAACCTAGTCGTGATTATACTCATTTTGAAGCCCTAAAAATTTTAAACTGAACACTCAAGTTTTCATTAAGTTAGCATCAAAACTAACTGAGTTACGGTGGTTTTACCGATTTTTAAGATTTCGTGATGGGTCCCAAATTTTCAAAATTCTCGAAATGTTTTGAATCTAGGCGTGTTTATACTCATTTTGAAGCTCTCGGCATGACAAACATTTTGCACTAATTTTCAGTTAGCTCCACTCAAAATTGATAAAGTTACGGTAGTTTTTGTGGTGGGACCCCCGAAAAAAAAAACGATTTTTCAAATCTCAAACTTGATCAACCTAGTCGTGTTTATACTCATTTTGAAGCTCTTTTTGTCACAAATTCAAATTTTGCTCCCAATTATAGCTATATAAGGGTCTTACCATGCTTAGTGGTGGTTATGATGATTTGAGTCTCATCGACCTCTATATCTTCAATATGGTCCACATCCTGATGGTTTGGTGGTGCATTTTGGGGATTTATTGAGTTAATTAGAAGGGCTATGCAGAAAAATGATATCAAAAGGAATTTCATAGTTTTGGAATGTTTTGACATTTCAAAATTTCAAAAAAAAATTCCAAAAAAAAAAAAATTTTTGGAACCCAAAAGTATACAATTTGGGAGAGGAATAAGAAAATATACTTGGAGCAGAAAAGTGGTCCCATGCCACCGGAAAACGCTCATTCACCTTTTTTGTCGCATTCTTCTCTTTTTTCTCTGCCCACTCTCTCGCTTTTCTGTACTATTTCTCTCTTTTTTTGGCAACTCTGGGGAACCACTGAAGGGTAATTATGGTTTAGACACGGGGAGGGGGGAAAAGGAACTATTTTTGGGATTTGGAAGGTTCTAGAAGAGATTTGGCAGGAAATTGAAATTTTTGAAAAAAAAAAATTTTCGAACATTTCAAAATTTATAATTTTCAAAAATTGTCAAAGTTGGTCAAATTTGTATTTTTCTGAATCCTCATAAAATTTTACTTCTAAAAATCGTGTTTTCAAAAAATTCCGACAAAAACTGATAAGGTTATGATCGATTTTCTGAAATTTCTGAAATTTTTCATTTTTGATCCCAAATTTGAAAATTTGAAATTTTCAAAATTCTAAACTTTCAAAAACAGGCGAAATTATATGTTTCAAAATTCTCATAAAAATTGAAATTTAAAAATCAATTTTTCAAAAATGTTGGCTGAAAGTGGACTGAGTTACAGGCAATTTTCTGAAAATTTCCGAGAATTTTCATTTTTGATCCCGAAATTTTCAAAATTCTCCAAAAATAGACAAATTTATACTTTTCGGAATCCTTGAAACACGAAAAATTTGAAAATCGCAATTTCAAAATACTTGAATTCAACCTAAAAATGTTATAAGTCATTTTTCAGTGCGGCTCCTGGGCTTATCAATCCAACATTGTTAACTTGGTGGCGGCTAAAGAAGAAATCGCTTTAGAGGACTTTTATGATAATCAGGTGAGTTTTTATCAATTTTCAACCTGAAAATTGATTTTAGGAGGGCCAGAGCTTCAAAATGAGTATAAACATGGCATTGGAAGAAAAATTTGATTTCAAAATTTTCAAATTTTCGGAAAATTCTAAAAATTCAAAATTCTTCCAATCTAGCCGTGTTTAGGCTCATTTTGAAACTCTTGACTTGGGAAATCCAATTTCAACAATTTTAAAATTTCAAAATCCCTCTGATCCCTCAGGAATGGCTCCTAACCGATGCACGGCTCTTCAACGGGACCACCCGCAACGTCTCGGCTGCCAATGAGTCATTTTCTATGGTTTACATGAAGTTGGACCTCAAAAGACAGAGTTTTTATTATGTATTCAATTTGGTTTTTCCGACTACACTGGTATGGACTACAAACTACAAACTATAAAGAAATTTGGATTTTTTGCAGGTTTCCCTAGTAGCCGTCGTCGGATTTCACGCTCCAATTAATGCGACCGGAAGGCGAGAGAGCAAATTTCGGCTAGGTATGAATGTTTTGTATACTTTGTACTTTTAAGTACTTCCTCCACCCACAAATCATAAAAAATTGGGTACTAAAAATTTGGAAAAAAAAAAAATTTTTTGAAATTTTTTTTGTTGAAAATTCAACATTTCAGATTTTTCTGGAATTTTTGCAAACCATGGCATAATTGTACTTTTCTGAAAGCCCAACTTTTGAAAATTCTGAAAATGTAGCTTTTGTTGAATTTAGTTGAAAATTGACCATATGTGTGATTATGTAAATGGGTTATAAAAATCGGATCCACAAATTATTGGTTTTTTTTTGAAAATTCAAAAAGAAAGGTTTTTGAATTTTTTGAGTTTTTTCAGATCTGTAAAAAATTGCCAATTTTTCAGTATAATTTTTATTGAAGTTGAGCATAAACTAACCGAGATATGACTAATTTTGATTTTTTGACTAAAAAAGTTAATTTTTGAAAATTCAAATTTTCAGATTTTTTCTGGAATTTTTATGAAACATAGCAAATTTATATTTTTCTAAAAGCCCAAATTTTGGCAAATTCAAAAATATAACTTTTATCAAATTTGGTTGAAAATTGACCGAGTTATGAGGTATTTGGTAAAAATTCGTATTTTTAAAAATTTTCGAATTTCACAAAAATTTCGTCTAGCATAATTATACTCATTTTGAAGCTCTTAATGTAATTAGCTCAAGTTTAATTAAATTTTCAAAATTGGTCTAGAATCAGCCAAGTTATTATTTATTGAAAATTTCAGAAAACATGTTTTTTCTAAAATTTTGAAAATTTTCATAACTTTCTCCATTTTTCAGATTTTTTGATGATTTTTATACTGAAAAACGGGGAATTTTAAGAGCTACAAAACTAAACAGTATTAATTAAGAAACTTCAAGAAAATTTATGAAAAACTGCTGAATTTCAAATTTTGAAGTCAAAAAATTTTCAAAACCCTTCTAACTTTCTTCATTCCCAACATTTTTCAACGAATTTTAGCTCAAAATGTAGCTGATTTCAAGAATCTTCCAAAAATCTGAATTTCCAGGTATCATGACTCTTCTCTCAATGTCTGTGATGCTCCTAATGCTTGTGGGAGAGATGAAGTTCGCCATGGAATCCGTCCCAGGACAACGTGGCAGTTTTTCGGATGTTCCCTTAATGGGAATCTATTATATGACACTAATTTGTATAGTGAGCATTGCCACGTGTACATCATCGATTTTCGTTCATCTGGAGAAGTTTGCACTGAGGAATCCTAGTTGGCAGGCGAGCATTTTCTCTAAATCGTCTCAAAAATAAAAGTGGCTACCTTTGAGTCAACGTATCTCGGCTTTCATCACAGATATCAAAAAGTGATCAACTGATAAAATGTTTGCCATAATATCAGCTACATTTTATCAGTTTACCACTTTTTGATATCTCTTATAAGAGCCGAGATAATTAGTGTCGAAGAGAGGGGGTACTTGGGTCCATGGATCCCAGTGAAATTTTTTTTTCAGGAAACATTTTTTTGCTCATTCTATCTAAAAATTTTTGGGACATTCAGAATTTTTTAAATTTTCAGAGTGTCCCATGGTACATCCGCTGGCTGGCCGCGAAAAAACTCTTCTGTTGTTACGTTCCAAAATCTTTCCGATACGATAAAGACGCCTATAGTAGGAATAACAATGTACAGGCGATTTCGCTACACTCACACCCGATAGAAATGTTGGCAAGAATTTGATTCCCAAAGAGGTAAGTTTTTAAAAAATTAAATAAATTTTCAAAAAAATATTTTTTTAGATCAATTTCACTGAAGTCAACCAGGATGCACCACTGCATGATGTGCTGGAGGGTCAGTTTTTTAATTCGTTGAAAATTTTATTTAAAATCTGAATTTAGCAGCTAAAGAGCTTTGAAATGAGTCTAAACACGACTAGGCTCCGCCCATTTTCAGTTTTCGTGGCGAGACCCGAATTTTCAAAAAATTTTTAGAATGTAGTCATGTTTATACTCATTTTGAAGCTCTTAACATTTCAAATCGAACGCATCAAATGTTGTCTTGCTGGCATTAAAACTGACCAAGTTATGGTAGTTTTACCAAAATTCAAGTTATCGTGGTGGGACCCAAAATCCGAAAATAGTCTTTTTTGAAACCTAGTCGTGTTTATACTCATTTGAAAGTCCTTAACAATTAAATCCGAACGATGTTAATTTCGCTGATTGAACATCACAACTAACCGAGTTGCAGTAATTTTACTGAAATTCAAGATTTCCATTTGGGACCCAAAAACCGGAAATTTCAAATATAGTCATGTTTATACTCATTTGAAAGCCCTTAAAAGTGCAAATCGAATGGTCCAGTTTTCTTTAAACTAGCATCAAAACTAACCAAGTAATGGTAGTCTTACTGAAATTCAAGATTTCCACTTGAGACCTAAAAATCGAAAATTTCAAGAAATTTTGAATCTAGTCATTATTATATTCAATTTGAAGCTCTTGAAATTTTAAATCGAATGGTCTAGTTTTTATTTTGGTACCATCAAAAGTGACCTAGTTATGTTAGTTTTACGAATTTCGTGGCGGGACCCAAAAATCGAAAATATCTCATTTCTGGAATATAGCCATGTTTATACTCATTTTGAAGCTCTTAACAAGCCAAACATTTAGCACTTATTTTGATTACACCAAATTCAAAATTGAGTGAGTTACGGTAGTTTTCGTGGTGGGACCCCAAAAATTCTGAACTTGACCAAAATTAGTCGTGTTTAGGCTCATTTTGAAGCTCTCGTTCTCAAAATTTCAGTTAAATTTGAAATTTCCAGGTACATCCGCCGAGAAGACCCAAAAAATCGATTTAGTCGTGAATCTGCTCCGTGAAATCATAAATTTAAAGGAGCGAATCGGAGCCGCCGGACAACTGGCTCCCTACTGGGAGCGAATAATTTCCCGAGCCGAAAAAGTGTCCTTATCTTTTTATCTCCTTTTAATCACTATCAATGTGCTCATGTTTTTGTATCCCGAGTTGTGGTATTAATTATCTTTAATTGCCCAATTAATTATTTTCAATTTTTCAAAAATTCCGAATTTTCAAGGGTTGCTTTAATGATCTAGAGAGATGCATAATCATTTATTTGTATTTTTAAAGGTGGAAGGAAGCAATAAATTTTTTTTTATTTTCAAAAAAAATTCAAAAATTCAAAATAATTCCGGTCGAAACCATTCGCATTTCGTATAATGCGGTTTCAGATTATCTCCAGAAGGCGTCGTCGCCAGAATCAACGTCTTCTTCACTTGATTACAACACCTCATCGCCGAAATTCGCTTCTCGTCGGAACACGGTGTGCAGAGGAGCACGAATTCAGCGTGACACTGATTTGGCGACTTGGTGTAGACCAGATAATCACCGCCGAACCGAGTACCATCAGCCAAGAAGTATCTGAAACATGAAAAATCGACGAAAATGCAAAAATCTGGTCGAAAAACGAAGAAAAATGAGCTATTTTGAGCTGAAATAGCTTTAAAAAACCTAAGCCTCAGTAAAAATTCCTAAGCCTCAGTAAAAATCCTAAGCCTCAGTAAAATTCCTAAGCCTCAGTAAAAATTCCTAAGCCTCAGTAAAAATTCCTAAGCCTCAGTAAAAATTCCTAAGCCTCAGTAAAAATCCTAAGCCTCAGTAAAATTCCTAAGCCTCAGTAAAAATTCCTAAGCCTCAGTAAAAATTCCTAAGCCTCAGTAAAAATTCCTAAGCCTCAGTAAAAATTCCTAAGCCTCAGTAAAAATTTGTTTTCAATTTTTTGAAAAAAATGTACCCTTTTCTCCAAAAATCCCTCACAACGAGTCGTTTAATTCGAAATTCCCTATCATCTGGAAATGGAATTTCTTCCATTTTCATCGGAGTTTTCGAGAATCCCGATTCAGAAGACGTCGTGGCGACGACGGATTCTGATGACGTCATCTGGAGTCTGAAGACGTCGGCGAATCCAAATTCCACCAAAACTGCCACTAATTCTGCCAAAATTGGGCATAAATTCGAGTTAAATTGCCAATTATTTTTTGAACAAGGGGCGGAGCCTGTTGTGGAGGGGGCGGAGCGATTAATCGAGACACGAGCATCGGATTCCAAGTAGGCGGAGTCTAAGAAATTTTTTTCGAAAAATTCAATTTCCCGCCAAATTTTTTTCCCAATTAATTATCACTAATTACCCTCTATAATTACCACTTTTCGATGCAAAAAACCGTCCATCCACGTGGCAAATCTCCACTTTTCGCCGATTTTGTCTGCTGGAAATTGGAATTTCCAGAATCTCGGACATCTGGAAATTTGGTGATCTGGCAAGACTAATTAGGGCAATTAAAAAAATAAAAATGTAAAGAGAAAATTGGAAAAATCCGAATCTTTTAGAAAAAAAAAGCTTAAAAAGAAAAAAAATTTATATACAAAAAAAATACTAATTAAGTGGTGTAATTAAGAACTAATTTGTGACTAATTAGGGAGAAAAAGTGGCTTAATTGACTGAAATTTTTGGATTCCATTTTTTTTTCGAAAAATTGAAAAAAAAATTCCAGACCAATTATCTACTTAATAACTCCCTAATTAAGTCCTAATTTGGTGTTAACAGTATTTTTGAGAGAGTACAAATAGGTGAGTCGTCCAATCACATCTCTCGCTTCTGGAATTTGTTTTTTCTCGAAGAATCCGGCCAATTTTTCCAGTTGATCGTCGATTTCTTTCTGCGAAAATTGGGTAATTAGAGGGTAATTAGCGGGTAATTAAGACCGAAAATTCGATTTTTTTCAAGGTTTTGATGGTACTTGATGAATTTCTGAGAATTTTTTGTAAAAAATCCTTAGCCTCAGAAAAAATCCTAAGCCTCAGTAAAACTTCCTAAGCCTCAGTATAAATTCCTAAGCCTCAGTAAAAATTCGAAAGCCTCAGTAAAAATGCCTTAGCCTCAGTAAAAATCCTAAACCTCAGTAAAAATCCTAAGCCTCAGTGAAAATTCCTAAGCCTTAGTAAAAATCCTAAGCCTTAGTAAAAATCCTAAGCCTCAGTAAAAAATCCTAAGCCTCAGTAAAAATTTTAAAGTTTTTTTTTGCTTTTTTTCAAATTTTCATGGTAATTAGAGGGTATAGAGAGGGTAATTAGGGATAATTGGGGCGCAAATCTGATGAATTTCGGGTCATTTTCAACCAATTACGACGAATTTAATGATTTTTAAGTAGTTTTCTGGCTATTTCGACTTATAATTAACGTTTTTCTGCAATTTAAGCCTAATTAAAGCTAGCTAATCACCTCAATTCGCTCCTTCTCGCTTCTCAACTCCTGCTCTCCACTCATTCCATCAATCTCCTCATTTCTCTCCAACATTTCCATCAAAATCTCCGAATTCTCGATTTTCTCCACATTCTCCTCTCCATATTCTTTTTTTATCAGGTATTTGGCTCGTTTAAATGGATCCGCCAGCTGCTTATATGCCTCATTTAGTCTTCTGGAATGCTCTTCTGATAATTTCCGCTCTTCTGGAGTCGCCATCATAAATTTATCCGGATGCAGTTTCGATTGCAGTTGACGGAATCTGAAATTGGGTCAGATCAGTTCAAAAATGAGTGAAAAATCAATAATTTCGAGCAGAATTAGTGGAAAAAACAACGAAATTTTGAATTTTTAGCCCTGAAAATTTGAAAAAAATATATAAAATGTTTTTTCTTAAGCCTCAGTAAAAATTTTCTAAGCCTCAGCAAAGCTTAAAAATCGATTTTTGGCATCAAAATTTTGGGAACTTCGACCTGGAAATCGTATTTTTTTCAATTTTTTTCTGTAATTACCCCTAATCAAAGGGCTAATTAGGCCAATTAACATACACACTCACTTCTGCTTCAATTCCTCTTGATCAAGCCGAAAATCGAATTTCACACCCATATAATTGAAATAGTCCTGGCCGCTGGTCACCGGTTGAATCACATTGCCTATAATTAGGGTATTTAACTTTTTTCAAGATTTTCATTAAAAACATTTTTTGAAAAAAAAAAATTTGAAAATTTTTTTTTTCTACTAGGGCTTTGGATTACTACTAGGGCTGAGGCTTAGGAATTCTTACTGAGGCTTAGGAAACTTTTGCTGAGGCTTCTAGGCTTAAAGTTTTCCGTTTTTCTCGATTTTTCAACTTTTTAGGCCTAAAAATCGCGGGAAAACCGATTTTCTCACATTTCTGACAAATTATCGGGTCCTTAACATCCTTTTTACACTTCCAACAACTCGGATGATCGTGGTGTTTGGCACGGAGCTGGACGAGACGGGCGGCACGAGAGCTCATCCGAAAATTTGGGATTTTTTCGGGAATTTTAGAATTTTAGACCAAAAATAATGCAAAAAATTGGGTTGAGTGGACCAAAAATTAGATGGAAATGGGCAGAAAAAATTATAGAATTTATAAAAAATATAAATTACAAAAAATACCAAAAAAAGGGGAGAAAAAAATAGGGGAGAAATGAGATGCAAGGAGAAGAAAAAACACAAAAAATTGAATAAATTATGGTGGAAAATGGGTGGAAATGGCTAAAAAATCACTTAAAACTGGCTCAAAATGACTCAAATTTGAACTTTAAAAAGCCAAAAATCAATCAAAATGCCCAAAAACTGGGAAAATTAGCTAAAACTGGGAAATTAATTTGGTTTTTAAACGATTTTTAGCACATTTCCAGCCCCATTTTTCATTTATTTCGTTGCAAATTTGACTTTAATCTGATGAGACGGAGTGATACGGAAGTTGTCCAGTGCTTGACGTGCTGGCTCTGACATATCCTCGGATTCGTACTCGACAAACGCGAAATCCTTGGTGTTTGGCATCCAACGAACCTCGCGGAGTCCCGGGAATCTGGAAAAATGTGATTTTGGAATGATTTTTCCCTATTTTTAGTGTTGGAGAGCCGAAAAATGCCATTTTGGCTACTGTAGGTGTTAACTTTGGACCATTTCAGTCTAATTTTGAGCTGATTTCAATAGCTCATTTCTGAACAATCGGGAGAATTTTTGAATTATTTTCGAGCTGAAAATCGATTTTTTCGGCTTTTCAGTTATTTTTATCTCCTAAAACTAACCGGGAATCAGGAAAAATGAAGATTTGGAGGTTTTCAGAATGATTTAGGTGCATTTTTACAAGATTGTCAGCCAGAAAAATGTGATTTTTGGACTTGATCTATTTTTATAAGTTGTGAATCATGAAAATTTTTTTTCTACATTTTGGGACCATTTTATAACTATTTTCATGCTAAAAGGTTATTTTTCCGCTTTTTTTTTCACTATTTTCCGAGTGATTTTGGAGCAATTTAGCTCATTTTCAGGATTCTTTGCTTCGGTGCAAAATCTGGACCGTTCCAGGCCAATTTTGAGCTAATTTCAATAGATTTGAGCTAATTTCTGAGAAATTTCAGGCATCCGATCTACATTATGGGACCATTTTTGTGCTATTTTCAGACTGAAAACACATTTTCTCATTATTTTGGAACTATTTTCATGTAAGAAATTCGATTTTCTAGTATTTTGGACCAATTTTCATGCTAAAAATCCGAATTTCCCGCGTTTTGAGCCATTTTCCTCCCCCAGAATCTCTAAAAACTCACTGTCCAAAGATGTGCTGAATCTGATCCGGGTCCGTTCCATCTGGAATATTCGAACAGAACAAAATGTTGTTCGGCAGTCCTGGTCCCTCGTTCTCGGCCGTTGTTTCCTTCTCCTTCTCCTCTCCTTCCGGCCGTTTCTCTCCATTTTTTGGCTTCTCATACGGCTTTTTGGCGGCGCGGGCCGTCGTTTTCGCCCGCTTCTCAACGTATGATCCTTTGGCACGTGCGATCACATCCGAATCCTCGCGAGCGTACTGAATACGCATTGGCTTGCCATAGAATGGGAATCCCTGGAAATAAAGAGAAAATTAAAGAAAAATAATCGATTTCAGCCAAATTCGAGCTTTTTTGATTAAATTTGAGCTCATTTTTAGCATTTTTATCTCAATTATATTAATTTCCTTCACATTTCAAGCAGAAGTCTGTTCAGAGCAATTTTCTACCAATTTTAGGCTTATTTCAAGCTTATTTCAGTCGATTTCAGCTAAATTTCATCATTTTTTTGTGAATTTCAGTGGAAAATTGACCTAGAACGTTTAGATCAATTTTCTGACATTTTTAACCGATTTAGAGCTATTTTAACTGAATTTTAACATGATTTCCCACCTTTTTTACCTGAATTTATGTCAAATTAGGTCAATTTTCATTAAAATTTCCACATTTTTACCTACCTGAAGAGCTCTAAGTGCGTTTGAAGCCGACGAGACCTCCTTGAAGACGATGTGAGCCTGTCCACGCATTCGTTCCTTCCGGAACGACATCAGTTGAATGATTTCGCCGTATTGAGCGAAAATCATGTGCAGCGAGCGCTTGAGTTCTGGAAAAACAAGATTTTAAGGCTGAAAATTCCAGATGTGTTGCTTTTTTAGGTTTTTGAGCCTAAAATTCGGTGTTTGCATGCTATTTTTAAGCTCAAAATGTCTATTTTCAGATTTTTCCCCTAAAAATCCATTTTTCCCACTCTCACCATCGCGTTTGACCTTTTCATTCAGGTTATTCACATAAATCGTATGATTTGGATTGATATCCGCCATTTTGGTGCTTTTTGACCCTGAAAAAGACATTAAAATCGCTGAAAACACAAGAAAAATTGCTGAAAATAAGGAAAAATTGGCTGAAAACCATGGAAAATTGAAATGCAAAAAAAACAACACATTTTTGAAAGTATTAAGAATTCAGATAAATTAAAAGGGAAAGGAAATTACAGACGAGATCCGTTCTCTATGTGATTTTAGGCGAAAAAAATCATATAAAAGGGGAAATTAAGGGGAAAAATTCCAGAAATATCAATTTTGGCTCGAAAATTACAGTAAAGTGGGGAGAAATATGCCAAAAATATCAATTTTGGCTCAAAAAATCACAGAAAATCGGAAAAATAAGTTATTTCTTGGCATAGTCGACACGCATGACATGTTCCGCTGAGATTCTGAAGTTGTTGAGTGTGGTTCGTGCTGGAATAGCCAACGAATCGGTGTCGAACTCGACGAACGCGATGCCCGGACGATTCGGCACCATTCTGATGTCCTTGAGACCAGGGAATCTGGAAAAATGAGATTTTTAGAGCATTTCTAGCTCGTTTAAGACTTAAGAACCGTATTACTGAGCAATTTTATCCTAGAAATATCTTGGAAATTGATTTTTATTTAGATCAATTTTACCACATTAAGAGCTAAAAATGTCTATTTCAGAGTAGTTTTTCCCCAGAAAACCCCTAAAACCCACTGATTGAACATGATTTCGAGCATTTCGGCGGTCGCCGAATCCGGAAGATTCGTACAGAAGAGAATCTTGTTTGGTGGTGCTGGTCCCTCTCCTCCAGCATCTCTCTTCTTGGATTTCGGCTTCTTCTGGACTTTTTCAGACATGTATTTTGGTTTCCGCTCCACATAGGTCCCTTTCTCCTTGGCAATACGATCGGCGTCCTCGCGAGCGAATTGGATTTTCTGAAAAGTGGAAAAATCGCAATTTTGGAGGTTTTTGAGCTAGAAAAAGGCCTAAAACTGGCACTTTTAGACTGAAATTCTGTGAAAATTAGTTGAATTTACCATTGGCTTCTCGTAGAATGGGAATCCGGAGAGCGCTTCCTTGGCGGCGGTGGCGTGTGGAATCTGGAAAATATGAAAATTAATTTAGAAATATGAATTTTCAGCCGTTTTCACTCAAATTTTTGAGTTAAAAATCGTAAAAATCGTTTTTCCTACCTCCGCAAAGATTATATGAGCCTGTCCGCGCATTTTGAGTGTCCTAAAACACATCACATCGAGAATCTCGCCGAATTGCTTGAAAACAGCGAAAAGCGATTTTCGCAACTCGTCAATCTTGATCTTCTCGTTGAGGTTGTTGATGTAGAGTGTGCTGTTCGGCTGGATCTCCTCCATTTCTGGAAATTTTCAGATTTTAAGAAAAGAAAAGGACAATTGGGAGAATAAAAGGAAAAATGTATATTTGAAGGCAATAAACATAAACTTTTTAAGCCTCTAGCTAGTTTCTTCAGCTCATTAATTAGTTTTTTCACCTGAAAAAAAATACACTGTTCGATTTGGACCTTTTCCCCCCATTTTCAACGATTTGTCGTCGAATTTTGGATGTTTTAGAGGTCAAAAATTGTGTCGAAATCGATTTTTTTGGTCTAGAATGTACCAAAACCCGGAAAAATCAAGAAAAACCAATGAAAAGCAGCAAAAATCGTTGAGAAAATACGAAAATTTTATTGTGCGGTGGAGCGCGTTTGCCCCCACGGCCATCGATTTCTAGGCCGCGGCCATTGGGATTTTGAGTAATTTTCGAGGGAATTCATGGATTTCAAGGGTTTAGGTGGGTTTTTTGAAGGGAGAGTGTCTTCAAATAGTGTTTTTAACTCATTTTCCCATTTTTGAATTTTTTTCGATCTGCAAGTAGCCTGATTTTCGGCCGAAATTTATTTTGTTGTATGAAAAATGTATTCTTTTTAGCTTGGCTAATTTTTTTTTAAATTTTACTTTATTTCAGCGAAGAATGTAAAGGTTTCTCTCATTTCTTTTCAGCGAAAAATGTGAAGGTTTCTCTCATTTCTGCGAATTTCAGCACTTGAAAAACATGAGAGCACACCAACTGGGAGGAAAAGAAAAATTAGGAAGAACCATCTGGGAGGAAAAATGGGCGGAGCCT